TCCAGATGGAGAATACTTACATCTCTGCTGAAAGTTCTATTGTATATCACTGTTCTAGAACACTCACCCCCGCCCCCCCCACAACTCCCACCTACTTCCCTGGCTTTTATCAAATGGTTTCTCATCTTCACAGCTCTCCTTGATCCCTCCCTCTCCCCCGTATAACCTTAGTCACAAACTCCAATTTTCCCACTGCTTGTGGTACATGTCTCTCGCTATATGGTTTGAATGTCCCCTCCGAAACTCATGTTGACGTTTAATCGCCAACATGGGTTCTACCCCTGTGAATGGATTTATCCATGCATGCTTTAATAGATTAATGGGTTATTATGGGAGGGGAACTGCGGCTTTACAAGAAGAGGAAAAGAGACCTGAGCTAGCATGTTAGCATTCTCAGTCCCCCGAACCATATGATGATACCTTGCACTGCCTCAAAACTCTTCAGAGAGACCCACCAGCAAGAAGGCTCTCATCAGATGTGGCCCCAAGGCTTCTCAGCCTCCATAACTGTAAGAAATAAATTCCTTTTCTTTATAAATTCCCCAGTTTCAGGTATTCAGTTAAAGGCATCAGAAAAGGGACTACTACATTTTTCTTTTAACACTTACCGCATTCTGTCATGATTATGTGTTTGCACATGTGATCCACTGATGAGGCTCTGAAATCTCCCAGAAGAACAGCTTTTTCATGCTCATCACCACATGGGCAGCAAGTGAATCTGGCACGTGGCAAGTGCACGGTGAATGCTAAATGCAGGGATGGATGAATGACTGAACGTGGAGTAAACAAGCAAACACACGTGGTTAGGGGCTCAGGGTGTCACTCATGCCCCTCCCCATGAAGTTAGGACAGATTGCACACATGGAAAACAGAAAAAAAAATTAGAAACAAAGTATAGTTTTATTAATCTGGGCAGACACCCGGTACTCTCAAAGCAGAGCTGTGGTAAAAGCCAGGATGGGGAACTCAGGAAGTCCTCCTGCGGTCTCGACACCTCCTGCCCCTACTCTATGCCTATTTCACCCCCAACCTCTTGGGTGGCTCTTAGCTCCAGAATCTGAGGAAAAACCAAGCGACAGTACTCCCATATGCTCCAGAGAAAAAGGAATGAGGCAGACAGCAAGAAGGAGCACACATGCCCCAGTACACAGTGCCTCACTCCGTGTAGGGGCTCACCCTAATATGCCACCCACATGGTTTATTTCAGAGCAAAGTTTTTCTCCAAAGTGTCTTGGATTCTTACCGAGAGAGAAAAAAATTTTGCCTGACAGAGCACCCTTAATCTATGGGGACTAGAGATATCTCTAGGTCTTCTTCTATAATTTTATTATTATATTTCAGAAAGCAAGCACTTTTTCCCAGATGAAATGATATTTATTGCAATATCAGTTCACTTGCACGGATGTACAACTAATAATCTAGACGTAACCACGTTAGTAACCTAACACAGCAACCCCCTTCAGAAACTCTTGAGCCCATAACCACCAGGATCCAACATACCCATCTTTCGTGAAACCTGGGCTTTTCTTTCACTCTATCTCACCGCAATCAACACATCTGTGGCTAGCAGGATGCCCTAGGATGTAAAAAGCCTCACTTTCATACTGTTATTCCTAGATTAGACTCTAGGGGTTGCCTGCAACAGAAACAGTCGTTCCTGAAACTACAGTTTAGCCAGCGGAAGCTCCCAAGATGGAATGATCTGCAAGTTGTATATATATCTTCTTTCCTTAGGAGTAGTTTGCTTTTGGATTCACATAACATCCTAATGGCTTTGGAAAATATTGATGATAAAATACATACAGTTTTGGGAGAGCATCTTATTTAGGTGCCAGCCATAATCCTCTGTTTATAAGACTCTGCCCAAACGGGCATGGGGGTTGAGGGGGAAGGAGAGAAAAAGAAAGAAGCCTTTCCTATCTTTTTCTGAAGAAACTACAGTCCTCTGTGCCTCTTCTGATATGGTGAATGAGCAACTCACCAAGCAACACCTCCAGATCTCCCACATTTGAGGTTTAATTCTAGGCCTACAAAATTCATTGGTTTATTCATTTAATTCACATTTATTTATGTATTCACTACTGTATTAATCACTTTATCTTTGTTAGGTCCTGTGGCAAAAAAATGAGCTCCCTCCCTTGTGGACTCCCATTATAACCGGGCTGGGTGGCCTCCATGAGAAGCACACATTGAGGTGTATTCCTCAAGAAAAGTGTACACCGAGTGCGGTGGCAACATTTTAGAGGGAGAGTTTATTTCTCCTGGGGAAAGGTAGATGGGAGGGATGAAAACTGGGAAAGTCTTCACTGAGGAAAGAAGTCCTTGATTAAGTCCTTTGAAAATGATTAAGTCCTTTGAAAATGTCCTTCCTGTGGGGAAGGACATTCAGACTGAGGGAAAAGTGTGAAGAAAGACAAGGAAGCTTGGAAATGCTTGATGGCGACTGCCAAGGGGACTGTCACTGAAGTTGCTAAACATTCTCTGAAGCTTGCAGATGGGTCACAGTGGCTACCTCTGGAGGTCACATATGTCCCTACACACCTCTCTCTCCTACTCCATCTCTAAGAGACTTCCAGTTATAAATTTTATGTTTTGTCTCCTCACCCTCTCAATATCCTCAAAGTAAAACTGAGTAGACAGCAAACATTGACATGTGTACAATTTCTAGTTCTTCTCTTCCTCATACACCAAGGTCATTGAACTTAGAAAAACAAAATGAGCAGATGCTACAAGGAGTCCACCATGATGTTCATTCATCCTGAGCCAACTTTACCAAAGCCAGGGACTATTAGGGCTGTGTAATGTTACTTGGTAGAAGTGCCTTTTGAGATTCTCTATTGTTCTTGAGTGACAGCTTCTATTTTTGTTTGAAAAACATATGGTTCAACAAATTTTCCCTTGAAATTCATTAGGCAAATTAAGAAAAAATAATCTGCAAATCTCTGCAATCCATTTCACCAAATACCTTTAAGAAAAATGTGCAGTTCTCCAAAACCCTAAACAAGCATGGTTTTCCTTTCTTGCTATTAATAGAGAAATATCTTATTACAGTTCTGCAAACAGAGCCAAATTGAAAGAAAATGAATTTTAAATGATGCTAGGGTTTCCAAAGAAAACCACAGAACAAACTCAGAGTTAAGGCGATAATGCATCCCTGTTGTACCTTGGCATAGGAGCAAGCATTTTGCAGTGACCATCTGGGATATGTAACATCGTAGTAGTAAGGGTGAGGGCACCAACTCATAGAAAAGCCAAGAGGCAACACTTTTTTTCCTGCCAACTGTGATATATTGCAATATGAAGGTTTCTTCTCCAGCAAACCAGCATTTCAGCTTTTATAAGGCATTTGGAGACACCAACAGTGTTGTTCACAGCTGTATCCCAAATGTCTAAAACGATGCCAAAGAAATAGTCGATAGTCAATAATAAATATTTACTGATTGAATAAATATTTAAAGTGCCAACCATTTTCTGTGGTAATAAAAAGTTCAGGATGCTTTGGGATACTTTTATCTTCCCTTTAAGACCCTGAAGGAATAATTTATTTCCCCAAGAACACTTCAGGTGTGTTGGGAGGAAGAGTATTTTATCAAGTACTATTAAATTTATACATCTGAAAAGCACTTTAAAGTTGCACTTCTGTTACTACTACTACTAGTAGTAAGAATGTAAAAAGTTAGATTAAAAGAGTTCATCAAAATGCCTTGGCCCTCATACCAAAAGCATAAGGAACAAAAGAAAAATTAAATTGGACTTTCTCAAAATTAAAACCTTTTGTGCTGTGAGACACCATCAAGATGGCTAAGATAGCCCTCAGAATGGGAGAAAATATTTGCAAATAATATATCTGATAAGAGATGTGTATCTAGAATATATAAAGAATACATATACCTCAGTAATAAAAAAAAACCACCTATTAAAAAAATGGGCAAAGGAGCTGAATAAACATTTCTCCAAAGTAGATACATTAATACATAATACAATTTGCCATTAAATACAATTGGCCCTGTAATCCTAGCACTCTGGGAGGCCAAGGCGAGCGGATTGCTCGAAAGCAGGAGTTCGAAACCAGCCTGAGCAAGAGTGAGACCCCATCTCTACTATAAATAGAAAGAAATTAATTGGCTAATATATATGGAAAAAATTAGCCGGGCATGGTGGCGCATGCCTGTAGTCCCAGCTACCCGGGAGGCTGAGGCAGTAGGATTGCTTGAGCCTAGGAGATTCAGGTTGCTGTGAGCTAGGCTGACGCCACGGCTCATTCTAGTCTGGGCAACAAAGTGAGACTCTGTCTCAATCAATCAATCAATCAATCAATACAATTGGCCACTAAAGCACAGGAAAAGATGCTCACATAATTAATAATCAGGGAAATGCAAATCAAAACCACACTGAGACATCACTTCATGGCCACTAGGTTGGCAATAATCAAAAAGACTGATAATGACAATTGGTGAGGATGTGGGGAAACCAGGGCCCTCACACATCCCTGGTAAGCAGGGAAGAACCCTATCACAAAGGACCACATACTGTATGATTCCATTTCATGAGATGTCCAGGCTAGGGAAATCTACAGAGAGAAAGTAGATTAGTGGTTGCCTAGGACTTGGGGGGTAAAGAAGGAATGGAGGGAAAAGGAGGGTGACAATTAATGGGCATGGAGTTTTTTGCAGGCTGATTAAAATGTTCTGAAATTGATTGTGGTGATGGTTGCACAACTGTGAATATATTAAAAACCATTGAATTGTTCACTTCAAATAAGTGATTTATATGGTTCGTGAATTATAGCTCAATATAGTTGTTATTTAGAAAAATGTCTTGACTTTATTAAGTTATTTTAGTGACCTGATTAATATGATTTAAAACATAGACATAGGATGTGCGTGTTGATCCAGCTTTGTATAAACTCAGAGAAGTGCAGAGTAATAAACTACTTCATATTATTTTATGTGTCTGAGTCTCAGCATGAATAAAACCCTTCAAAAAGACAACTTCAAGGGTTTTCTTGAAGATTTAAATGTTTGAATGGATTTGGAATGATCTCTAGATATTAGATTAATATTAGATTGTCATTAATATTCCAAAATAATTTTATGCCAAGCAATTAAGAGCATCATGAAAAGAAAATTTTATTAATATATTTTAATATGCACTATAAAGTATCAAATACATTACCTTTCAAATATTAAAATACTAAAATTTGTCCTATATAACTAAAGAGTAGTTCCATTTAAAAGATAAACTCTATATAATCAACAAATTGAAAATAATCCTGGTAGTGTCATGTTCCTCGTAAAGATATAGAAACTGTATATACATCTAAAAATAAATAGACATACATTCCAAAAGATATTAGTTTTATAAAACTAGTTTCCTAATATTAAGCTAATATTTACATACTAGGATCATGTGAATTTGAAACTAAAAGGAATAGTAACAATTCTCATTCTAGCCACTTGTTTCACACATGAGAAAACTGAGACCTAAAATTGTTAAGTTTTTGCCCAACATCATGATTGAGAAATCCATAGTTTGAAACCAAGTTCCCTAATTCTCAAGGTAATGATATTCTAACCAAACCAAAATTCCATAAAAATAATTTTAAAACCTATCATAATAGAGAGGGATACTAAGTTTATACATCTATTGAATGTTTCTATACTTGAATATATATTATTTGCTCATTTCTATCACTGATGTTAATTTTTAAGCTTTCAGTTTCTAGAATGATGTGCTGTATGTCTACTTAACTGCTCACATAGTCAACCTCACTCTCAACTTATCTGAGAACTTATTTTCAGAAAGGATGAACAATGCAATTAAAATACAACATGGTAACAACTTAATAAAATTATAATTCCCAATGGAAAGCTTAGGAATACCTTCATGTAGATGACCCAATAAATTCCCCACAGGGAAATCCAATACTGTGTTACACTTGAAGGATTCTTTACAAACCTAATTAGAGAGAGCATAAGCATAGCATCCACCAACTCTACACTGCTCCTGAAAAAAGTCTATGACATGATTATTTTTAATGGTTCTGCACCAGGACTTCATGGGACTCTGCAGTTTAGTTAGGGATATGTCTCCTGGTACCTCCCCAGTCCTGCCCAAATCTTCCTAGAATTGCCCTGTTACAAAAATTACTTTTTTCTCCTAAGCAAACCTTCAGCTATCTCCAAAGCTGTTTATTGATTGCACACTTAAGGTGTGAGTTTCCGGTGGGTTTGTATCTGGGGGTTGATGAAGAGCTATTTACATTTTAAAAGTGAGGTTCCTTTTGCTCAAAATTTTGCTAACTAATGTAAAGAGTGAGTGCGATCCTTCCCTATATAGGATACACTGTGCCCCCAACCTCCTCTGGGGGCCACCGAGGTCTCCTGACCCCCTACATTCCAGAAATCAAGGGTCAGCAACTGGGTGCTCCACTTGTGAAAAGCTGTTGACCTCTGGGAGGGAGCTTGTATGGAAGCAAGTGTTAATTTTCAAAATGTGACTGGTCTTGATAGCAGCAACCTCACCCCAGCACGATGTCCCTTGGAATGTTTACTAGTCAAGGGGCATAGAAGTCATCTGTCATCACTGGTCAGTGGTGCAAGCAGCTCATTCTTGTATCCTTGCCTTTCTCCCTTGGACTTAAAACAAAACATACCACTTGCCCTCTTCCTTGCACATTCAAATTTTCATGTGTTCAACATTTGTCAGGGCCTTCACCTTCAATGACATGGTCAACACACCAAGAAATTATATTTTAACACATGAAAAATGAACAGCAGGCCCGTTTCAACCTGCCTTGTAATTGAGAGCTACAGAATTTGTGTTTGGGGTATGCATGTGTGTGCCAATTCATGGAACAATATTTATGGACACTTAAAATGATTATCCTCCAAAATCATAAAAAGGTTTAATAACACACTTTAATATAATTTCTTAAGCATTTTTTAATAAAATACAGATATATAATTATAATTATCAATGTATGCATGTCATTTAATACAACAATAAAAGGCTAGTCTTTGAAGTGACATGGTGATTACTATTTACAGTAAAACCTAAAGGAAACAGCATTTGTACAATATTGCTAAATTTTACCAAAAAAAGATTAATAAAACATTCTACGCATATAGATGTCATCTCAAATTACCAAAAGCAAAAAGTGAAACACTCTTCTTATTAATACCTAAGGTATAGAGCATTACTTTCCATGCTTTCTCAAGATGGAAAACTCTCTGTTCCCCTTGAATTATACCAAGCACTCGTTCTCAAAGCCTTTTCCCAAATCTTCATTAGGCTATTAATACCATACTCAACCATCTTTCATAGATACACCTATTGCAAATATTTCATTTCCCTTCCTGTTAATTAAATGTAAAAATCAGTATTAATTTGATGAACTGCTACAGAATCCAGGAGGAAATTTGTCAGTATCTACTAAACAGAATCACATCCTGTGCAAATTCTGTTCAAACAGTATATCCCCCTAATTTCTAACAGTTGTGCAGTTTTAAAATAAAGAAGCAGATCAGGAGCTATACCCTTCCCCCACATAAATTAGGAATGAGTTAAAACAATTCTGTTTAGCAAAGAAAGGAAATCACGTTTCTTTTTGCTTGACAAATATATAAAATGTAATGAGTCAATGTGCAGATACATCATTTTACTTTCTCATCAGGACAGTAATGCTCCTCATCAATGTATTTTTAGTCTTTTCTATTTATCTCGTAATGTGCTACCAAAGTTACTTGTTTTTAACTCTTCAACCATGCATACCTTACTTTAGAGATTTAAAAAAAAAACAAAAAACACTACTGTCTTCATTTCTCCAGTTCCAAGGTTAAAAATGCTGTTGAGGTTAAAAGTTTTATAGTTCTTTTATCATAATTAGTATCTTCCTCCTCAGTACTCCGAGAGGGCCTTTATAGAGTAATGGGCTTTGGCCTTTGCACTACACTTCTCAGAAGACAGATAGCTAGAGACAACCTCTTGAAATTCCTTGTAGAGTTATTTAACACCATAAAGGCTAGGACCTAGCTGTTTGGGGAGCGACTGAGAGAGAGGGACAAGGTTAAGGAGGGGGGAGGTTTCCAATTCGTAGGAGTTACAAGACATAAATAAATAGCATGAATGCATTTTTCCTTACTTATACAGCATGGGTCAAGAAGCTCAAAGCAGGATGGAAAAAAATATCTTAAATGAAAAACCAAACTATATAAAAACCTAAGGGATAGGTGACAATATTAGTCCTCTTGGTTTAAAAAGATATACATTTCTCATTGGAATTAAAGAATTTGAGGTGGATTTATTTTCTTTTTGCCTCTCCATTCATACAATATATTCCTTCCCTGGTGAAAGTCTGAATTTAAAAATCTTTATAGGACATTCTTTAATGGCCTATTTGATAAACTAAATAAAATGAGTCACAAATCCAAAATACTGGAAATGTATTCTCTGCAGATAAATAAGTACCTCTTAAATGCCCAATGGAAAACGAAAATAATAATAAAAAAAAATCACAAGCCTCTCCTCTACCTTCCTTAAGGAAATAATTATTGTGGGTTATGCATTTTTAAAGACCCAAGGTCACATAATATATGTGGTAAATAAGCAGCAGCAGGAACAAAAAAGCTAATCCTTCATGATTACAAATACCTCAGAGCTAATACTAAGATTTCAACTGGCTTTTGTATGCTAGGTTCTCACACTGTGTCCAAGGATAACAGAAATCCCAGGACTATCTGCTGGTCACCGCTGGTTATCAACACTCAAGTATGAAACTGTTCAGAGCATTTTTCTGATAAATTAAGTTATAAGTCTTCGTCTGGTGAGTATTGCTGCCAGGTTTTAAGTTTACCATTTTGTTTTTAAAAAGAGTCTGAGAACTTTGGTTAAACATACCACATGCATGCCAAAACTCTGTGCAACAGGAGGAACTGGGGTAAAAACAGAGGCTGCAACATTCCACATGCTGCGTATATACAGTATCCATCTATACCATAGATAATTACAATCTCACCATGAGGTCAAAAAACTTTAGTGAGCCTTCATTTTCTATTATATGTACATTTTACAAGCTACAGATAGTTGCTTTCCATATTGCCTTTTTAAAAAGAAAAAAGAAAAAGAAGAAAGAAAATACATTGGAGAGATTCAAATGCAATTTAACTTAAAGACTTCATCAGACCATATGTGCAGACACTTGAGATGATGACAGAGTTAAGCTTCCTAGGGTCCTAGAGTCAAAGAAACTCTGCTGACCCCCACTGCTAAGCAGGTGCACTCCTTCCACGGGGGGCAACATCTGCCGATCGGTCATGGTCCCACTCGGCGAAGACCCCAAGAAACTTCCTTGGGAAGAAACAATTTTCTCAGGACTGGCAGCCAGTTTAGGGGAGGTGGAGAAGTTATATCCGTACAAGGCACAGGGGCTGTGTAACCTGAAAGTGTTATAGGAACCCTGATGGGTCTGGTTAGTAGCAAAGGCGTTGCTGGAGGGTGAAGGCATGATATACTGGAGCTGGGGGGACATCCCCGAAATCTGCATGGACAAGCTGGTCTGCGGGCAGCTGAAGGTGTCCCCGTCAGTGCCACCCATGGACATGTTCACCGACGTGCTGCTGCTCACGCCCACGTAGGAGGGAGTCCTGGGCGGGGCGAAGGTCTCGCCGGTCTGGTTGGTGAGCCTGTTGTAGGTCTCGGCCAAGGACGTGCTGTACCGGTTGAGGGCGAGGCCCGAGCGGGCACAGGCGGAATAGTCAGCCGGAGCCAGGCTACACAGCTGGCTGGTGTTGGGCCCCAGATGGAAGGCTGGAGAGGAGCAAGAGGAGCCAGACAAAAGGTGAGGGTGGGTGGCGGGAACGCCATTCCCAGAACTTTGGAGTAAGGTGGAGGAACTCGCATTGCCTACAAAAGAAGTTCAAATGTAAAGAACGACCCCATGGCCATCTTTTCCTTTCAATCTTGTAAATATGAGCTAGACATAAGCATGCAATAAGCTTGTTGCAAGGCAGGGCTGGGGGATGCTATAAAGAGGAAAAGGAGATGGTCTCAGCTTTCAAGGAATTCATAATCTAATTGCATTCGGATTGAAATAATTTAAATACAGATTCTGTCAATATTTTTAAGGCAAATTATCTCCCCAGGATATTTTTTTTTTTTTTACAGAAGATAATAGGACACTATCAATTGGAATTTTCATTTTTCTGCCTCAATTAGCTTTCTCAAAGTTTTATTTACTATGGTAAATATTACGAATATTGACTTTACCAGCAACTTCATAAAACATAAATTTCATCTTACTGTTATTTTGTTTCAAAAGTGTAACCATCATGTCTCTTCTATCCACCTTTTTACTCTTTTAGCAAAACTTGCTCTGTATCAATATATTTCTTGTAAGGAAAAAAAAGTCACTCAAAGGTAAGAACCAAACTGGTCAAAGATACAAACACTGCCTCAAATATATCTGTGACTTCTCAATGAAAGCTCGTGTGCATCAGGGACTGTACTATGCAGATCTTGGCTATTGTAGTAAGGCCCTAGAGTAGCGCTTCAAAAATCTCATTTCCAGCCAGAAAACAGGCTGCTGCATCACATGCTAACACAGGAGCAGAGGGCCAGCAAATAAAGAGTCCTGTGAAACTTAGAGAGGTGGTTAACCCCGTGTCCCACCAGTGACAGTGATGGTGGTTGACTGTCCCCTTCTGGATTTGCCGGCAGATTGATCTTTGCAAACCTCACAGAACTAAGTGGAGAGGAGAATTCCAAGGGCCTAGACAGGCTGTAAAACCTTCAATGCTCTAGCAATGGTGTTTTATATGGCTTCTCAAAATAATCTAAAAGCCCAATCCAACCAGTGATAATTACCTAAAACCCAGCATGCTAAATTCTCAAAGGGAGCTGGGCAGGCTCATGGTGAGGAGTGAGCTGAAGGTCCTACCGACTGAGCAGACCAGAATGGAGGCACCATTCCTTTCCGTGCAGCTCCCTCTGAGGGAGCCCTGGCTGGTGGGAAATGTTCAGCGATGAGCCCAGGGAGGTCTGCCTGAGTGTGCCTGACCATCTCATCCTTAACCCAACAGGAGAACCCTGCCCGGAGGCAACACTGCTGAAGGAAAGAGAAGAAAGCAGCCACCAAGAAAGGGTGGACTGAGACCAGCATCAGCAATTTCTTGGGAAGTGTACCTGGCATTGGAGCCCACGATTCTACCTCTAATTTTAATACAAGATTTAAGGATGAGGTCAAGGTCATGAAATAAACAGCCTAAAATATCCAAGGTTTAACTTAGGACCACAACAGCCATTTTTCCTGGTCCACCCCCATAACATAGAAAGAACAGATGGATTCTGTAGTAAGAGGGTGTTGGTGATGAGGTCGCCACTGGAAGTGTAAATAATGACTTGTACACTTCCAGTGCCTGAACTTATAGGCCGGAACTGGATGTTTATATGACTCAGGAGACTTGTGAGTTACCTTGCTTGGGAATTCCAGGGATATCTTCAAAGGTGAGAGTCCGCAGTGAAGGTCGCCAGAATGCATATGACTCCACCAGGGCTTCCAAACCCATTCTAAAGGGAAGGGTGAGGATTGGGGTGGACAAAAGTAGTCTAGTTACTTTTGGAGTAAAAAGTAATCTCCAGTAGCACCTGGAGATTCTACCAGTAATAATCATCTTGGCAAACAGCACTGGTATTGACAGTACCCCTTACACTGGCAGGTTAGGAGCCACAGGTAGGAAGAAATGCTTTGGGGATGGGCTACCATTCTGTCATCAGGAACACGAAAGGATGGAAGCCACACAAGACACCTGTTAATATTCTTGGAAAACTCAGCTAATCTGAGGGGATCAAAAGCAATTTGTTAATCTAGATAACATTATGTTTTCCAGAAAGCCTATAGTTCCACTGTAGGAAATGCTTGCTTCCTGGGGTGTCCAATAATACCCAGGTATCTCTTGTGATTGTCGGATATCTTTAATACCTTGACTCAAGGTGCTGCCTCCTCTGGATCCCCTGCACTCCAAGTCATGAACTATGAACCAAGACTAGAGAAAACCACCATAGGAAGTCACTTAAAGCTCTCTAAACACCAGTGGTAAGTGATCTGTGTAGAGATAAAACTATCTGACACTACTTGTCCTTCTGTTCCGAGGTTTCACACACAAAATAGGCTTCCGTAGGGTTTCAGGCTATAATTCCATTAATTTATTGATTTTTGTCCTCACTCTATGAGGAGAGGAGCATGCCTCTGTAGTGACAGGAAACAGCTGTGCATATGTGGATGGGTAGTGCATGTGCATTCACATATGTGCATGCGTGGACACATCCTTCATGACACTACATGTGGACCTGACCCATCCCTTAAGTTGCAGGTTCAAGGAGTGCTCTGGGAGCACTTTAAAGAGATGTCCACAGCCTCAAAAAGTGCTAGTGTGGGGCTGCCAAAGTGGACAGAGGGGACCTGCATCTGCTTTACCTGGCCCTGAGTGAGAGGGAAGAACAGAATCTGACTTCTGACGTAAGCAGCATGCCACAGACAGAGGATCATTTAGTGGTAAGAACACTAGATTGGGGTCAGGAGAATTGGGCTGAGGCTGCAACTCACTAAAACTCACTGTCTGACCTTAAGTCACTTTCTTAACCTCCGTGGACTTCAGTTTCCCACAAAGTGAGGATGGGATTGCAAAAGCTCTGAAATCCCTCCTAGCTCTAAAGTTGTTTCATTCTAAGTGATTTTTTTTCCAAACCAGACATCATCATACGTGTGGCCAAACTATAAGCCAAATCCAAGATCATACCACTCAGTAATATCTTCTGTACAATAAAATATTGATTCCTGGGCAGTTTGGCAGGCCTGGTAAGTCCCCAAACCCTACGTTGCCTGTGGCTTGTATACAATGCGGGACTAAACGAACCCTGGGTGCTGTTCAGCTTATTACCCTCTTCTCAGTTTAAACCAATGTGAAATGTTTATGACTTTCTAGAAACAAGATTATTTTAAATGCAAAAGAATGCCAGGACACAGCTTTTTATTACCACACAGATGAGTTTTGGTAATGGTAGTTTTAAATATTCAAGATACCAAAGTGCTTATGGAACAGTCTTGAGGGGAATTTACCAAGATAATGTACATGTAACCACTGGACTTAGAAATTTATTAACTATAGAGATGTGCATTACTACATTATTTGCTTTAGCGATATAAACTTTATTATGCAAATACAAATTCGTAAACCAAATTCTTGGGGAGAAGTTATTGATCATCATGAATGGACAACCCTAAGCTTTAGAGATAGTCTAAAGGTGACTTATCTACAAATGATCTGATCTGGACCTATTGACATTTTTTCTGAGGCTGCTGTTTCACACTGCAAGTTCCAGAAAGGATTTCAGATATTTTGCAGGAAACAGTTATAAAATATTTATTAGCTGAATCTGGACTTTTTAAAAAAAAGCCTTCATTTTCTTCAGTAATGGAGACTTTTCCCGTCTAGTTAAAGAAAAGATAAAAGGCACCTCCTGCAGGAGTGTAGCCAAGGCGATAATTTATACAAGATGCCTTTGAACAATTTCCACATTTTATCACCACCCTAATTTATGCTATCAAATGGCCAAGTTTATTTAGTAAAATGGTTATGTTTTTCCTGAAGTATTTAAAGAGAAGAAATTTTTGTACCTTCCTGAGTAAAAAATTTTATAGGGTCAAACCTAAGGCCTAACTGAAGAATGAAACTATTCTCAGCACATAAATTCTCTCTCACGTAGCAAATGTCTTGCAGGAGAGCTTTTAAGGGCTGAAGCTACTGATTCCTATAAAATAGGCTGCGGAGCCATAAATAGCCAGAAAAGGATAATTTTTAATTAAAGCAAATTGTTTTATAAAGTTTAAACAATCACAAGTCGATGTTTATTTCTTGTCCTGCTCAATTTATTTATTTCAGGTATGGGGGGGGATAAAATAGTTTGTTTTAAAAAGCAGTAATAACAGCACAACAGAACTGGGGTAATAAAGAAATATATTTAACTTTTTCCCATGAGCTTTCTTCTCTATTAATATATTTTTTAAAATCCACCCTCCACCAAGTCTTATATATAAGCTAGGCTCTTTTTTAAAAAAAAAAGGAAAATACTACATAAATTAGAAATGCTTAAAGCTGACTGATTATCTCTTCTCCATATCTACCTGTTGCATGTATCAATGGAAAATGTTCAAATTAGACTTTTTAAAAGAAAAATAATGATTTATGGATATTTAGCATTCCAAAGTGAGCAGTAAATAACCTATGATAAGCAAGAAAAATAATTTCAATGAGGAAAAAAGTTGAAACTTTATTTCACTACCAAGAAAGTTTTGTATAGGCTCAACAAGTATAACCTGTACCAAGATATTGTTTAGACACTTGGAGCAAAATTAAAAATTTTAACATAATTTAGAAAATGTTAAAACATAATTCATTATCTTCTGTGCATCTATTAAAAAGTTTAAAAGTTTGGAGTCACGGAAGAAATAGTAGCAAGTACCATGGATGCCATGCCTACCTATTCTCAAAACACCAAAGAAATGCAAAAATCCATACCAAAGCTAGCATTTTGACCTCGCCATACCAAATAACAGGACTGGTAGTTTATTTTCACCAATGCCACTGATTTTTTTCACTGACCAAATTTAAATAACCAAATGTCTTTTCATTATGCTGACATATCTAGAATTCTTCCTGGAAAGTTGTCATATGCATCTATCATCTCACTTCTTGTAGAAAGTTCATTCACTATCATTATTTGTCCAAATATACATTTAAAAATATTTTTTAATTTCTTGCTTCAAAAATGAACTGACAGGGTATAAGCAGTTTGACCCCCAGGTCAGTAGCAGTGAAGTCTTTGCTAGAGCAATTGATAGCTTGGACATAGCTCCTGGTTGTATATTCTCCAAGCCTGAGTGCTGCCCCACCTGAAACGTTAGTGAGTTTTAATAAATTCCTTTTCTGCTTAAGAAAAAGTAACCTGAAAGTAATGCGAGACTCTTAAATGGACAAATACTATTTTGCTATAAAAAAAATCACAAGATGATTCCTTCAAAGCATTTGTCAACGTGGAATAGGAGTTATCCCAAAGGTTCCTTTCAGTTACCTTAGTAAGTGATCATCTCTGGTTATTAAAGTATGATTCAATTTGCATTCAATTTTTAGAAACACCTCTGAGAAGCAAGGTTAACAAGAGCTAATGTAACAAAAGCCAAACAATTTTTTTCTCCATATTGAAATAGACATCTAAGAAGACATCAAATAATTTTAATACAGCACACAATTTTTATGTGTTAAGAATACTTGCCAACCTTCCAATAGAGTGAAGAATTTCAGAAGGAAGCCCTGCTATGAATCAGCCTCACTGACTCACCTGCACTAAGTTGAAGGCTACTCTACCCTCAGTGCATTTTAGTTCTCATGTTGCATGGTATTTAAATGACACCACTTCATATGAAAAAGACAAGTTTCTATAAGCACTTGAGTGTATTTTGAGAAAATGTCTCTATCATCTACCTTGCCCAATTAGTTAACTGAAAGAACTGAGAATCTGGATTGTTCTCATTCTGAATTTTCAAGTAAAATTGTTTCTAAAAATAATTAGGGTCATTTTGACTGCATGTAGACAGAGCCTAGTAATACCAAGTTTTTGAGGAGTATTAGAATAATTTCAAAAGTAAAAAAAATTTCTCAAATGCTTCTTTTTAAAAACAGGCTGCTTCTGAAAACATTTAAATCAAAGCCTTACCCTGAAAAGGCATTTGGAGAATGTTAGTCTATTATTATTATTATTCTCTATTACTACTATTTTAGAAAATGTTGTACTGAACCGTATTGGAATAGAACCATACCAATAAATTCAAAAACTCTTGGCATACCGACTAGGTGATCTGCTTTTTGATAAAAGTAATAGAGTGGAATTCATTATTGTAGCTTGCCCACTTAGTATAAACACCATAAAACATGACACAAAAAATAAACAAGTGTGTGGCTGTCAGGGGAGCCAAGACAAATCTGGAAACTAAAGAACATAAGCTCTCTCTTGGCAATGGGGAGCAGTTTCATATTCCAGCTGGAAATCTGATTTAACAAGAGACCCCAACATACTCCACAGACAGAAATAATAGATAGTTGTGTCATCACTAAGGTAATTCTAAACCAATAGTAGAGGCACCAAGGATGTTTACTTGGAATACGGAGGCCCCTGGGCCTGCTGGGGCAGGTTTCCTCAAGGCGCCTTCAGAAAACCATACACCGTGTACACCCTGAGAGCTTTCATCTTCACCTCAGCATCGTGCGTGAGAGTTCACCTTAGGGCACTCTACATCATTACATTCCAAAAATAAGTTACCTCTGAGGCCCAATAGTATTAACAAATTTAAATCCTCACCAGAAATTATTTCAATACCATGCCAGTAATTTTATCCATTGACTTTATAACGAAAAATTCACAATACAAAAATCAAATATGTTTATCACAACCAGAATGTTCTTCACTGAGACCTACCTGTTACGCCCAGAGTCTCGGAAGCCTTTGGCGAATGGATTCCTATCTATCTTCAAGCGAGTAATCTGCAGAGCAGAAAAACAAATCACATCAAATGTCAAGTAAGGTTCTTAAAAACAGAAATGACTGCAGAACTAAATTAACTGTTAGAGGAGTCTATTGTTTACCTTTCTTCCATTCCCCAGGCATTTTAATATCCTAGCAGTAAATCTAAAAGAAAATTTCAGAAATCATCTAGAACATTCACCTACTGTGAAAAAAACACTTCCCCACTCCTTTCTAATCTGCATAAATGTAATAGATAAGTTTGTTATACTTCTAATATTCCTAGGGATGGAGATTCTAAATCATCTGTTGATAACTAGTTGTATGTTTGACAATCCTCTCTGAGTTGAAGTTCTTCCTTTTAACTCTAGGATATGGTTTAATCCTGTTTCTCTCACTTTAGAGGTCACGTAGGACAACAAATATTCAACTTCTGTTTAACAGTTATTTTTACTTTTGAATATCGTTAAGCTGCTATGCAGTCTTCTCTTCTTCAGAATTAGGTAATAATACACACACTCCTTTAATTTTCTACCTCTGTGTTTTTCTTTGTCTCTCCTTTAACTTTCCTTGAGGCTCTCATTTGACAGTTTTATTCTTTTGTCTTTTATCTGTGGAGTCCTAACCTGGTCAGAGCACTACAGTGAATGTCTAACCAGCGGTAACCACTACTTGAAGGTTTTAATAATATTAAATCCCATACTGCATGTAGTAGAAATAAATGGTGTTTTATTTTTTAGCTTTTTAAAATAAATTTTATTATGTTATATTTAAGGTATACAACATGATGTTAGGGAATACATATGGATAATGAAATGGTTCCTATAGACAATGTTTTATTTTTACCTAGAGTTCTAATTTTTTGACTCACAATCAGCTTCTTGCCCACTAAGACATCAACATTTTGGGGAAGAGGATTGTTACAAATGGTCTAATCATCTCCATTAAAAAATTCTTTATTTTAGTTATGCCATCCTGAACTCAACACTAATAAATAACATTCCATCTGTTTCTTACCAGGTCTCTCTACTTTGCCCAGAGGAATTTACAGCCTATTTTCTAAGAAGCACATCATTGCTTTGCTTTCTAAATTCCTTGGCTTAATGAACTCTTCAAAGTTAATGAACATACTTGTGATTGCACCATCTTGGCTAAGGACAAAACTGTTGGAGAGCACTAAGACAAAGAAAGGCATTGACTTTGGAAAGTCATCTGCAGGCCCCTATGTTGCCTGTGCACGCTCTCAGCCATCCTCCAATCAGCCATGCAACACTTAAGACACATGTGCTCCATATGATACTGTCTTAGGATGTGGATAAAACTACATATAAATGATATAATGAAAGGGTTGATAATTAATTCACTATGTCTGCCATTCTGTAGTTGAAGCAATTCTTCTCTACAGATCATTATGGCTCAATTTTCTGTTCATTTCAATGAAGTTAAATAACATCAAATAATTTACATATTCATTTAAAATACTATTTAAAGAATATAGATTTATATAATGATGCCTTATCTAAATTGAGATATATCATTATTACTATCATTATTTTTACACTAACATCACTGTATTTATTGAGTGCATAGCCTGTATGCTACATTTTATGCATACTAATTTATCAAAATAATTTATGCATAGCTATTATCCCAATATCATGTTTTCTTTTAAACTGAGGCTTAAGTAATTTTCCTAAGATCAGGTGGTTGCTAGCAGTAGAAATGGGCTGGGACCCTAGGTTTGCAGAGCCCATGCTTTAACAACTTGGTGAGTCTGCTTACCAATTTTCCAGAAGTTATTAAAAATAATAGCCAGGAAGTTAAAAGTGAATGTGATTCCATTTTATCTTTATCAATTTCCCCTCTAATTTTTTTTGCCATGTTAATCAACTCATCAATGTGCACTAACTGGCATTAGTCACCAACATGTGCCAAAAGCCCAGGGCATCACACTTACTGTACTTACAGAGCGTAGGGAGAAAATACACATAAAAGACAGTTAATTTATGTGTATATGAGAGAGAAAGACAAGATGAATTTGGGTTGTTAAAAGGGAACTACGGCCGGTCGCGGTGGCTCACGCCTGTAATCCTAGCTCTCTGGGAGGCCGAGGCGGGCGGATTGCTCGAGGTCAGGAGTTCAAAACCAGCCTGAGCAAGAGCAAGACCCCGTCTCTACTATAAATAGAAAGAAATTAATTGGTCAACTGATATGTATATAAAAAAAAATTAGCCAGGCATGGTGGCACATGCCTGTAGTCCCAGCTACTCGGGAGGCCGAGGAAGTAGGATGGCTTGAGCCCAGGAGTTTGAGGTTGCTGTGAGCTAGGCTGATGCCACGGCACTCTAGCCTGGACAACAAAGTGAGACTCTGTCTCAAAAAAAAAAAAAAAGGGAACTACGCACCTCTGCTATTTTCTCATTATGCATTACTTTTTTGCCCCCCCAAATCATTTTCTGTCCCTAATTATCTCTTCCTAATTATCTCTGGACCTTCTAAAGGTTCTATTTCATGCTCCTTCCTAAAAGTCTGTATAAAAGAGTGGCGATGCACGCATGAGAGGACAGAGCCGTTTCAGTGGTGGGACTGGCGTCTCCACACAGATGGGAACTGCTAAGCCGCTCAGCCCTAAAGAACACAGGGGATGGGATCCAGATCTCCCACACTTTACAACAGAAACCATAATGGAGAGATTATGAAGACTTACATTTTTAATTGTGATGTATATAACTGTAACAAGAAGTAAAGACCTACCTAAAACAATTCTGCTGATTGCTGAAATAAAAAAAAAAAAAAATCTACCACAGAGCACATCCACCTCCATACATTCCTTATGAAAACTAGCTGCGGTTGCACAGATTACATATTTGCCTCCAATTCAATTTTCCACCTACTTGACACATGTAGACACAGCCTTAAAGAAATACATATATTGACTCACACAGAAAAGAAATAGTTCACTCACTTCTCAAAGTGTTTATAACTTTGTGAAAGGGTTACTCCACAACTGCTGATCTCTCAGACTACGAGCATGTACATCACCCTTTATCACAGTTAAAGCATATCTTGAAAGATATTGCCCTTTTTGTATATATACCAAAATGACCATACAGGATAAATGCTTCTGAAATATTTCTCACAATTCATGGGCTGTAGTTTTAAAATAAGATGAGCTACCAAATCCCATGCTCTATAATACAATTCATCATTTTTGTACTTTACATGTCTGTTTCCTAGGCAGTAAACATGCTTTCTAATTTTAATTATGACATCATGATTCAATATCTCAAAATGGAAAGTAAACCTATACTATCAGTCATGAGACATATTCTTGTCTTAAGAAGTCCTCACTGGAGTAGCCTTACTTGGGGAATCATGGATAAACAATTGTTATTACTATACACCCATGCACATGCATGCTCTCTCTCTTTATATGTCATATATGACAAATCCTTTATGATAATTCATAATATTTAGACATAGTGAGGACAGCTAACTTCCTATTTATACCTGCAATGAAAAGTCTAGAAAGATACCAATTCTGAGAACAATACCTGCTGATTCTGATAGGCAGTGACAGTTGTGAAGACAGTTTCTGGAAAGGAGAATGCCTTCACTCCCTCCCCTGAGGGAACAGGCTTGATGGGAGAAAGATCATCTCCACAGTCTTTACGGATGACGTGGACTCGCGGCTGGTATTTGTGCATAGAATGTAGAATGATCTGTATCAAAGAAAGAAAAGTGAAATTTATCAGGAACCTCTGTTCAACCTCAACACCATGACTAAATATTTAATATGTTAAATAAATCCATGTTGGAAATTAACATTTCCAAGGATACATATTTTATTCCAATTTAATAAAATATATCAGAATTGAACAGGGAGAGCTAGGAAGTTTTTTTTGTAAAATGTAAATAAAAATACAAAATAAAAATCACTATGCACTGTGTACAACCATGTGAATTTAACATCAAATTTTCTGTTGCTAAAAATACAGGAATAAATGCTTAAGCATTTTATTTATAATGAGCCCAATGGAATACAAAGTCCAAACCAATAAAACTAAAAATGAGATTGAAATGATTATTTAAATTGCACCACAGCCATTCTTTAAAAATAAGTATTTGCACACAAGGTTTTCTTCAGAGGGAATTTTTCCCTAATCAGTGACTACATATGTCTATTCAAAGGCAAAGGGGATTTTAAGGACACACTAGCATCTGCTTTGTATGTGGCTCACAAAGTCTCTGGTTTGCCAGGAGAGCCCAGTGTCCACTATTCCATCACAAGGCGGCTTCCAAAACTCAGGCTCCCAAGAATGGAAACGCTGGCTCTCTCAGACTCTGTTGGAGAAATATGACAACATGGTTCAACTACCTTCTACCCAATGGTGCCACTTCTAAGAATTTACCCAAAGGAAATATTCCAAATTCAGAAAAGCTTTTTGTGTACAAAAATGTGCATCACATTATTTACTATAGCGGAGGAACTACAATATATCAGCAAGATTGAGGGCACCTTGCAGATATTTGGACCCGGTAGTTATTTTATTTATTTTTTTCCAGAGATATGTTGGGGAAAAAAGAATAATAGGTGAGGGGGAAGCTGAGGTCTGCTTCCTGCCCTCCAACTGGGAAGGCACTCCCCTTCTCTGTTTGATAGGCAGGGCTTTGTGTGACATTACACTGACATATTTAAGTATGAAAAAACTGACATTAATCTTCCAATTTATAAATAAGAAGCTAACGTCTACACGAGCAAGAAACTTCTGAATCCTCAGGGATGGACCCGGAAGCCAGGTCCCTTGGCTCACGGCTGGTCTTCCCACCACCACGTTTATGTGCATTCACTATGAATATATATTTTGCAGGCAGGCGTTATCACTGGGCCAGGCCCAAAGAGGCAGTCGATTAAGCTCCAACTCCCTGACTGGTGTTTTAGAAGTTTTGATCTTCACATACTCTTTTAGATATGAACATAAAATAGCAAAAATGACCAACAATATAATAACTGTTAATGTTAACCCTACTTTCTGCCCTTCCCTCTTTATTTCTCAAAATGACATTCACTTGATATCTTGGGTAATAGGAGAGTTTAAGGGGGAACTCTTCCTCTTCTCCAAACTAAGAAACAAAGTGCCAGTGGTAAACAAATAACAATGAACAAAATAACAACATTTATAAACTAAAAGTAAGTGCATAGCCAATTCCAGAAGATTGGACTGACTTGGAACGAAGGAAACAAAAATTTTATAGGTTTCTGTTTACTAGTCAATGAAAAGTAAGTTTTTGTTTTGTGAACACTCTGTTGTCTCAAGCATATTTTTCTATAGAGTTATATATTTTTAAATTTTATTTGTTTATATCCTTACTATATTTCAAAAATGACTTCAGGTGGGGTATATTGGGGTAAGGAACAGAAATGGCTGATGTATATGCCTATGTCTGCACATTAAGGAGCAACTGCCAATAATACTCTGAAGATTGTTCAAGCAAAATAATATATTTTCAATGTTACCTAGAAAAAATTTAGTGTATCCACAGAAATGTTTAGAGAATAACAAACAAGCCTCAGTTCTTCTTTATAAGATAGCATTATTGGCTTTCTAATGAACTGTCAAACTTATAATAATGAGTGGTCAATAATGTTTTGCTCATTTAACAAGTAGATCCAGAATTTCTGGCCTAATAAACAAGCAGACCAAAATGATAATGTCCATCACATTATCTGATGGATATGTTCTATGCTCTCTGTTCTGTTTAGGTTTAGACAGAGAATTTTGGTTTTTTGGTCTTACCTATTAACACAGACAGTCATATGGATCTATGTCCACAAACACAGAGTGCTTTCCCATGTACATGTTAATAAATGTTTTTCAACTTTAAAGACACTAGATTTGAGTCCAAAGAAGCATGATATTGTTTATTTCTGATGTGATGAGTCAAAAGTGCCTGAGGTTTGATTGACAGACAGCTGGATCTAGTCTTACAGAACAGCTCAATAGGAAAACACTCCCTGCTGACTGGAAATTTTCCAGATGACCTGAATTCCCATGATGGAGTTTGTCAAGCAAGGACCAAAGGGGAAACGGATAACAAAAATGTGGCTCCCTGCAAGTTTTGGTGACAGCAGGTACTGACTCACTTCAGTAGGGTAGGGTCAAGGCTGTAACAGTGAATCACGAACACCAGAGCAAGGTGGCCCTATTTCTATTTTACACATGATGCTATATACAAAGCACTCCTCATAAACATGCACTCATTTGATTCACTCACAGTTTTATGATTCCAATATAACCCATGAGAAAACCAAGCCTTAGAGAGCAGAAGCGACATGCCCACAAACACAGATGTGTCGTACCTCAGCCATTGCAAGTTCCTTCCACCAGCGAGACCTCCACAACCTCCCCTAATAACATTTTGCTTCCCCACTTGATCTTCAAGGAGAAATGGACAGTGGTATAGAGTCCTCTGCGGCTGGGGGCACAGAACCTCCCACAGGCCCCTGGCTGTAGCTGTCTGGAGATGCTTCCTTCCAAAGCATCCCAGCGCTAGGCTACAACTGCTGCTGAGGTTTAAAGTGCACCATTACCTATAAAATGTCTTCTAATTTTTCAGGGAAATGCTCACCTAGATGTTTCCTTTTCAGATGGGAAATTCCAGGTGAATAGGGAAACATACACATGATGAGAAGGAATTAGCCTACCAAAGCACATGAACCATCTGCATGTGGGTAGCCCAAGGACCAGCCTTGGTTTGTATAAAAGCCAGCAAAAAGCTGGCTATGGATTCCCCAAGGATCGGGCAGGGATTATAAAGTCTTCACAACATTCAAAAATTAGCTGTGGAGTGGTGGGACATTTCCACTCTGGACTCCCACCAATATGCCTCTCTAAATAATCCCTAATATTTGGACAGCTGAAAAGTGACTTTGAGGAAAACCACACTGGCACACCATCTCATGTCTCATGTGATCCTAGGTCAAGTCCTCGCACTGCAAGGATTTGATTCTGCAACCACTTTGTGTTAAACTAATAAAGGTCTTAGGTCTACATGGAGTTCTCAAGTCACTACGCTGCACACTTGCACATCTTTAGTACAGTAAAACTGGGAACTGAGAAGAGAATAAAAGGGGAGAAAGCAATTTAGAAAGCAAATAAGAAAATCATCTCTCATGTGAGTCTACAGCTTTATTAGAGATTAGAATTACTTCCATTAGATTGGGAGGGGGGTGTGTGCTGGGGGCGGCAGGGGGAGGAACTTCAACCACCTAAGAGCAGAGGGGGAGGTCCACAAGAGCCTCTGTACCAGGAAAAGGACTACTGAATTAGAAAGTCCTATCATAATGGCACTACTGCCTTCTTAAACCCTGAGTCACAATCACAAGAGAATTAGAAACAAATTCCTAATCTCTAATCTAGTGTCTTTTGAGGTCATCAAACTGAGTAAATAAACACACAACAGACACTTTTTTCACAAAGTTTTCCCAGTCTCTCCTGGCTGCCATAGTGCTATCTGTCCTTCTCTAAACTGGCAGGATGTTAATCTGTGTGCAGATTAACACAGATTCTCTCCCTATCTAGGCTAGAAACTCACCCAAAGCACAGACCATGACTTTCACATTCTATAGTCTTCAAAAGTGTTTTTCAAATGAGTAACAAAAAAAGAGCACTTTCCCTCCTACATTCTCCTCTACTATTAACTTGTACATACATACATGTTTACCATTTGCAAAGGCAATTTCCTTGCTCCTGAACTGCACAAACATATCTCTCTTCCTTTTCCCACACACATCAATTACCCCCATTTATCATCCTGCCACAACCTTGAAAGAAAAATTTCACTGGAAAACAACACATACTTCTGTAGATTTTGCCTACTTTCTGCTATGTTTCTGATTTTCCCAATAGTAAAATATTTTAATTATTTAGGGTTAAGCAATCAAATTTCAAATTGCAATCTATTCTTTTGTGTTTTAAACAAATGCTGCATGATAGCTAATTTTATGTCAACTTGGCTAGGTCACATTACCCAGATATTTGGTCAAACATCAGTCCGGATGTTGCTGGTGAAGGTATTTTTTAAAACAGATGAACATTTACATCAGTAGGCTTTTAGTAAAGCATATTGCCCTCCATCATTTGGGTGGGCCTCCTTGAATCAGTTGAAGGCCTTAAGAGTAAACATACCGAGATCCCAGAAGGGAGAACTCTGATAGCAGACTACTTTCAGACTTAAACTGCAACATCACTTCTTCCTTTGGTCTCCAGTCTGCCAGCCTGTCCTACACATTTTGGACTTGCCATCTCCTACAATACTGTGAGCCAAGTTCTTAAAATCAATCAATCTTTCTCTTTCTCATTCTCTTTCCTCTTCTCTCTTTCTCACCACACACACACACATACACACACACACACACACACACACACACACCCCTCCCCCACATACACATCCTATTTCTGGAGAATGTTGTTTTAAATAAAGTGTAGTGAAATTACAAAGTTAAAATTATATAGGTGGATAAATTACCAGATATATCTAATGTTTGACACCTCAGATATTAGCTATAAGGCCAATAATTTGAACTGAAAGAATTAGAACTATAAAATGATTATAGTAATTTAAATTACTAATACATTTGTACCTTATATATGATAATACATTATTCTTAGGCCCAATTATCTCTTTAAGACAAACATTGTTAAACTATAGGACTTAGAAAAATATAATATACTTAAGGTGTTGATAACAAGTGACACTAAATGGCATTTAGTCTAAAATTTTCTATTCCAAAAAACATCAAAAACCCCTCAATGGATGTACTGCCAACATTTAAGTCAGCTCCCTCAGTGAGATGAAGAAATCAGTGTTATTTCACTGAGGTTAAGTGAAAAATAATTGTGACAACTTGACCATGTTAAATTATAAAAATAAAGAATAAAAAGAAGGGAAACAAAGTAATGCACTAGAATATGGGACATGAGGTTGGATTCAGAAATGAAATCTACCATGCTACTTTTCTGTTTTAAATCTGAAAAGGCAACAATCAATAGACAAAAAAGCACTGACAACGTGAGATTTTACTAGATGCACCTTAAAAAATCTAGATACTGCATTGGGACCACAATGAAATTTGTATTCAAATGCTTTCATTAAGGTCATTTCCTTAAGATACTGTCTAGCAACTTGCAAACCATATCCTGTCTTCGCTATATTACTAGTATGTGACAGTTTGCATTTTTGTTTTAAAAGATTTTCTCATAAATATGCTATTTTTATAGCACCCTTAGAGAAATAAACAAGCTGGTATTTCTTTTATGTATGATATGTTCTTCAAAAGACATTTCAATCCTGCCGTAATCAAAACCTACTCAAATAACAGAAACCTAATAAAAGTGCAAGCTTTGGACGCAAATCAGTATGTATCCAGAGTTACTTACTTATTAAAATAATAATGTAGAAATCTTGCCTAGGAACAATACTGTATAAAAATTAATAAAGTGTTAAAAAATGTATTATTGAAGTGGCTGAACTGTGACTTACGTATCATGTTTCAGCAGTTTTAGGAATGAAAGGAAATTATTGTTGTAACATATTTTGACACATTAGATGTTATTACAAAACAATTGGGAACTTGCAGAAGGAACACACAAACACTATAAGCCTGGGCAATTACTGAGAAGCAATGAGCCTCAACTGGGAAAAGAGCTAGATGCAGGCAGGCAGGACACAATAAATCATTACCCCTGTTAAGCCAACTCCAAAGTATTCATAGTCAGAGTATAATAATTAGCACCTCATGGGATTTCACACAAATGTTTTGGCTAAAAAAGTCTCTGCCTTGGGTACTTTCATTCCAGTACAAATGCAGTATCTAGTTTTAACCTATTAAATGCCTCACAGGCAAAGTCTATGCAAATACAAACTTGGTTTTGTACATACTATGCACATGCTGATCAACCAAGAAACGAATATTATGATCTTAGAGGTGTCCATTTCCTTCTGGTAGATACAGTATAGTTAGATATCCCTGTGCCATCCAATGGAGATGCATTAGACAGGCCATCTACTCACATGGCCTTGGTCATCCAGTTCATTGTTGGTGAGCTTCAGCTTGTCGAAGCTGATCACTTGTCTCATCCAAGTCTCCCCCGAGGCAGGCGAGTCCGGATGAATGTACACCCGGGGTGGCACAGGGGAGTCAGCATTACCCGCCACCATCCATTTAGAGCTGTGATAAACATACCTAGAAGGTAATGACAAGGCTCTCAGTATACTGTCTACTCATTTCTTGGAATTTCCAACTAAGTAGAATCAGACAAAATGTGTACTCTTTTTTTTTAATTTCAGGTCCAAAATAAATTGATTTCCTCTTGACATCCAAAATAAGATTTCAAGCATTTTTCAGTAACTTTCTGAGGCAGCAATGGCTTACTAGCAACTCAGAGTAAGTGATATGTTAAGGGCTTAGTGAAAAATGTGCACACTGTCACCACCATAACTACAAGTATTTTAATTCTTATGAATCATACTTATTCACTGTGTTCTGATGTTTTCCATTTTCCATCTGGATATTCAACTGAAATGAGGAAATTATTAAGTTGTCAAGCCCACCTCTAAGTAAATCTCAAAAATACTTGAGAGTTATATCATAAAGTGTCCTCTACTTCCTTCAAGATCATTTCCCATTTTAGGCTATGATGAGATAGACAGTAGAAAGGCAAGAGGAAATTGTCAAAAGTTCTAGGAACTTTTATTTTAATAGAAAAAAAGTTTTATCTGTTATTTGGAATTGGAATTATTTGGGGTTATTTTTTCTATATTAAAGGACAAAGTATTCATTTTAATTTTAAAATTTTGTATTATCATAAAATGTAGGTCCTTATCACCTATATTTCTTTCTTGACTGTTCTTTCAAATAGTTTTCAAATGTTACTAATCAAAAAATAAATCAAACTTCGAAAATGATGGCATATCTAATTAATATTACTTTTCTAATTAAGAAACAAACATTCTATTGTTTATATGTCAAATATAATCAGTAAGAATACATTTAAATAATAATATTTCAATAAATAAGATCTTAATATTTAACTCTATATTCAGATTACTATTAATGTTAATATAAAATAAAAAACTAGAAACTAATATATTAAGAAGAGTATAAAATAAAATTATATACTTAGATGTTTCCCTTTCATTTGTGTTAAAATATAGCTTATAATTTAAAGCAATAATTTGCAAATAGTCTCAAAATTCTGTGTAGTATACAAATTTCTTTTAAAGATCATGAAACATTTTCTTAACATCTCTGGTAAGTCCCTTGGTTTCAACTATGATCACATATTTCATTTTAAGCTCAATATGCCTTTAATTCCTTTAATATGTCTTTAATTCCCCTTTCTTGAGAAAAAATACACATCATAAAATTAAGGCAAATTTTTTTTTAAAAAAAAACCTCCCTTAAATGGGAAGGGGAAAATTCAAAAAAAAAAATCCCAAACGGGGGCCCTTGGGAAAAATAAATTTGCAATCCAAAAAAGGAAAAACAATTTTAAACTGAACAAAAAACAACCCCTTGAAACAAAAAAAAAACCAAATTTTTTTCCAAAAACGCGGAAAAAAGTGGAAAAAAAAAAAAGAAAAACCTAAAAAAGCAAAAAAAAAAACGCAACGGGGAAATGAAATTGGGTTACTATCAAAATAAATAGAGTAATATGCTCTATCAAAACCTTGAAAAAGTATGCATATTGAATAGTTCAAAACTCCATACCCGCTGAGAGAATAAATACTACATGTTACACATTCTTTACAGAACATACTAAGACAAATGCTAAAAAATTTCTTCTTGGGAAGCAATGTAAAATGAAAGCAAATTTATGTTTTACAATTTGATATTTTAAAATCTGGTGTGTTAATATTAATTTGTGAAATTTCCCTGCTTTCTGTGAGAGTAAATAAGAATCAGTTAAGTAAAATAAACCATCTAAAATATAGGGAAAATGTCTGGAGAAAGATATAGGAGACAACTTCAGAAAAGAAAGTGATAATTTCTAAGCTCATTAAGAATTATATTATGTTCCTCAAAACAAAACCCAAGTTGGAATATGGGTTTTAAACCAAGTATATTTAAAGAATGAACTTCGATGCCTTCTAGCTTGTCATGCAGTAGAAAATTTTAGCAAAACTCCATAACGACTTAAAATAAGTAATACAACTTATACACAAAACAAATAATACAATTGTCCTTTTCATTACCTATTTTTGTAGGATTTCCTATGCTCATGTACTAATTAAAATCTGAGTATTTTTGATGTCATAAGCCTGTTTAAAAAAACTCCCTAAATTTTTTAAAGTGTTAAAAACCAAATCTGATTTCATTTAAAAACTTACTGAACACTCTGTTCCTTAAAAACAAGAAACAAAGACCAAAATTTAAAATGGCATCTTCTGATCTTCCAAACACTTAAAACCCCCTTATTTAAATGTTAGCATTTTTAACACTTCAGAAAAATAAAAAGCAGTGTGCTGAAAATTGCTGATTTGCTTTCTTGCAGAAGAAAAAGAGCAAAGGTTAGTTTAAAAAACGTGTATCTTCAAAGTTTACTTCATACCTATATAAATATATTCTCTTTCAAAACCAACATATTATAAAAATTTTTTAAAAAATCATTACATTAACTATCAACTAAAAAACAAAAGAAAGGTAACAATTAACTACCGGTTTAGAGATATTTTAATATCATAATAAATTATAAGATTTTATTTTTCTTTCTTATAGAAACCTTAATTTTGTTAAATTAAAAAAGCCTACAGACATGTTCTTGAACATAACAACATAAAGGGAATTTATGTGAAGATCAAAAAGATCATGAAGAAAATATAACATTATTTAATATAAATTATATCTACAAACATTACATAACATTTTCTCTCAAAATTCTAAGGGACATGTGAGCCAATATAAAAGATGCATTTAGTTTAGCAACACCAAACTAGCCCCATTTAAAAGTCTTTGATACTTAAAAACATTACTGTATCTATTAAAAGCAAGCAAAAATTAAGCTTCCACATTTGCTACAAGAGAAGGCACCATCTGGGCTGCTGGAACCCATGGGCGGTGGATTATGGATCTGGAAATTCTACAGACTTCTGGAAACAAAGATCACAGTCCTCACAGATCAAACAAGCACTAGCTTACAAAATCCCAGCAGTTCTCGTATCGCCCTGTCTCTAATCACTGTACCTGTATCTTTTGTTGTCCACTGGCACAATATCCATGGCAATGTAATATTGCTGGTGAGGATCTAATCCTGAGATCTTCACTCTCATTGCTGGAAACATGCGCCTATTTATAAGGGAGGGGAGAAAAAGGGTTTGGTTTTTTTGTTTGTGATTAAGGATGGAGAATGAATAAGCAAAGAAACCTCTTGAATCTCTAGTTTTAATATGGGCAAATTTATAGCATTCACTTTGGTAATATAATTCAAGGAGTCAGAACATAGGAGACATCAAAACTGAGGTTTTTAAATGTAATTTGTTGCACCCTATGTACATGTGTTCCATGTTTACTGAAATGTCAGTATAGCTAAAAGTAAAAGAATTGTACGCTAGAGTAATGGCACTAAAGAAAGCACTTTATTTTTTTAAAAAACAAAATGCATATTTACTTTAATACTACAAATAATAAAATGTACCAAATGGTAGAAATAAAAAATTTGAATTTCTGAAAGTGATAAAATATATTATAATGTGAAACTTTAAAAGGGTTATAAAAAACCACAAGGAGCCAATGTGCCATGCTATAACCAAACAATATGTTCTTTATTGAGACAGGACTTCCTGTCTGCAGCATGGTAAAGGTGAAGTGCAAAAGTTGCTCTAAATTTGAAAGGTATAGTAAAACTTCTTTATTGAAAGCAGAAACTAAACACAATGTATATTTACCAAATCATTCCTTCCCCCGCCATACCTGGAAAATGCTTTCTAATTTAACCCCACACTCAAAACTTTGATAATTAAAACAAATGAAAATCTGCATTTCTTTGGGCTTCCCAGAGATGTGTATCAAAGGAGATGCTAAAGTAAATGCACCTATCGCTTTAAGAAGGCACAGCAGCAAAGAATTCAACAGCAAATAATTATATATGAAAAACAAATTCAGGAGTTCTTTTAAAAAAATGTTTCATCTACTGATTTATGTCTAGGACCCTTCCAGTTAATCTAATTTTTGCTAATTTAATGTATAACACAAATTTTAGTACTGTTATTTACCAATTTTTTCTATAACAGTAATACTATTAAAGACCACTTCCAGAGAAAAGAAAGTCCATTATTCCTAACTAGGCACGAGAACAGTTTAATATGCTGGCTGTTTTAGTGTTATTTCAGTGCACCTGTAAGATAAAGAGTAAAGGTCTTTAACTACATCCTTTATAAGACAACTGTTGCTTTGTGTTGTTGAAGACTGAATTTGGATCATTAATAAAAGCTCTGTGAAAATGTAGAAGGTAGCATATGGATTCAATAAAATATGTTTTTGTAATTTCTAATAAGTTTGGATACTTTTATGCTATCCAGGTTTTTACCATGTGTACTCCCTGAAAGAATTGTGTGTGCTTTCTAACTAGTGTTCCTTTTAAGGAAGCACACTATTCAGATTTCATTGCACTAAATGAACTGAAAGCTTTAAAATGCAAATATTTCTGTGCCTACCTCAAATTAGTGTGATCTGGCCAACAAATTCATTTATTCTGATAACAGATAAATGTGCAAATTTCACACTTTAAAAAAACCGATATAACGTCTTATATTTTTTTGTTTGTTTGTTTGTTTTAGTATTCTTCTGCAAATCAGGCTAACCTGTTGGATTCCACTTAGGAAAAAAATGTAACCAGGCACTGTGAATCTATAAACAGGAAAGATATTTTAAAAAGGGTAATTATTCTTGCAGCTACACAGTATTAAACATGTATTACGGGTGATTCCAGTGACTTTTTATTCTAGTTTAATATAAAAATAGCGCAACCCGTCCTGTTTTCATATTGCGAGGAAATCTTTTGATAAAGAACCAGCCTGGAAGTTTCAAACATGAAAAAGCAAACCATAGTTTACTGAAGAGTTAACTGTGTTTAAAAAATAGAAAAGGAAAATTGAAAAAAAATGAAATGTGTTTCCTAAATCCAGAACTGATAACTAGAGCCTAAATAAATGCTTGGACTGTTGTAAACATGACCTCGAATCTGTAACTACGGGGAACATCAACCGCGACAGCTGTGGCATCCGCGGGCGACAGTAATTTTGCCCCTGGCATTCAACCAGAGAGAGAGGTCGGGCTGTTCCCCTCACTGACTGCGTTCGTGGTAGATATGCAAAGCCAGCCTCCAAAGTGAACCACCATCCTAGGCCTCGTGCCGCCAGTCCCAAAATGCTAACCAGAGCCCCCCATCGCGCTGCAGGCCCTTCTTCCTAACCCTCTCCTTTGAACTGCGGGTGGAGTGGGGCCAGGGCCGAGGGTGCTGGGGGTGGAGGGGGCCGCTTCTGCGCCAGCTCGCCTTTTACCTGCCGGCCTTGGTGATGATCATCTCTGTGCCGATCTCGTGAAAGCGCTTCCAGAGCTCAGCTCCCTGCAGATCCACCCGAGGAGCCTGCGGCGAGGGCAGCGGGGTCCCGGATGGGGCCAGGGCGGGCGCCGGGGACCCCTTTGGGGAGCCTCCCGGGGACGGCAGAGGCGAAGCGCCCTGCAGGAAGCCATCTTCACAGCCGCCTGGACAGCAAAGGACAGAGAGGGGGGACCAGTGAGGGCTCCAGAGGGGAAGCGGGCCGTGGAGACAGCCCCTCTCAGCTGGTGGCTGGGAAGAGGAAAATGGCCCGGAGGAAAACGGAAAGCTCTGGTGCCATCGGGTTCTTCTAACGAACAGGCCCATCGTTAAGAGAGTGTGATCTGCCCGGGCCCCTAAGACCCGAGCCCGGGAAAGACCCGCAGGCCGCGTCCACCCCACCCCTGGGCCTTCGCGGGGCCAAGGCCCCAGCAGAAGAGGTGTCACGCCGCTGCCAGGGCCTGGGACGCGTGCCCGACGGAGTCTGAGATGAGCTCCACAGTCCAAAGTCCCCGGTGCAGCCCGGGACACCTCCCGCGCCCCAAAGCGCACGCAGCAGACGCGCCCGGACGCCCGCCCGGGACTCTGATCCCAAGACTCTGGGCCTCCCTTCGCTATGGGCATCGGAGGCGCCTCGCTTTGGGCCCGACCCGAGGCATCCTCTAAAAGGCTCTGCAGACTCTTCCCGCCAAACTCCCGGCACGGCCTACGCCTCTAGCCAAGCAGAGAAGCCGCTAGAGGAGCGTGAAAAGCCAGCCCGCGGTCGCCGTCGGCCTTGGCAGGATTCTAGGGCGAAGGGAAGGGAACGGCTCCGCTACCCCCGGGAAACCACGTTTGCAAATACGCCGCCCTCTTCCTGGTTTGCACAAACGGTTTAGGGCATCCGTTCCGGTTTCGGGGGGGTTATGCCGTCGCTCCCCCACCCCCGCCCCATGCTTTTAAAAGTTAGGAAAGAAAAAGAGCACCCATTGGCTGGAACCCCAAGGGAGGCAGATGCAGGAAGCACAGAGCTGCGCCGCGCGGCGCCGCCAACTGCTGCTGCGGCCGGCGCGGGGCGCCGAGTGGGCGGCGGCAGCCTGCGAAGCGAGGCTGGAAGCGGCATTTCAACCGTCTGGAGGTGACCCGGTTGCGCGGCGAGCTTTGCGCCTGACACCCACGGCCAATGCGCTCGTGGCTGAGTTGCCCCGGCCACGTAGGGACACTGCGCGCACGCACACGCACAGACTCACAGAAGTTCAAGTTCCAGGCGGCAGCGTGGGCCGGCGGGGCCCAGGAGGGGACGCACGGAGGAGAAGTTAGGCGGGAAGGGGCCGACTCACCCGCAGCTCCACGCTCCAGGTCTGCGCAGCTCCGGGCGGGCCCGGGCGCCGCCCCAGCCGGCAGCGGGAGCGCAGCGCAGTCGTCTCCCTCAGAGGAGCCGTTTTCGCCCGCGCCGCCGCCGCGGCTGCAGCCTCCGTCGTCCGCGGCCCCGGCTGCCTCCTCCGCGCCCAACTTTCGCCGCTTCTTTTGAAGCTGTTGCTGCTTCTCGGCGCCGATCAGCGCTTCCACGGAGAAGGCGTGCGCCTTGAGGCTTAGCATGCTGCACGGCGAGCCCCTCCGCTTCTCGGCCATCCCCGCCGCCCGGCGCCCGCCCGCCCCTCTCTCATATACACCCGCGCGGGCACACGCACGCACTCGCTTTTCTTCCCCACCAAAAAGCGAACCGCTCGCGGGGCCTCCCGAGGTCTGCCCCCTGCCCCGCCGCAGGCAAAAAAACAAATTTGGCGTTTCCTTTTTCTCGCTCCTGTCGGGATCCGAGGCACCAGCGACGCGCCCGCCAAGTTTCCTTCCCTCGGTCTCGCGCGCGCTCTCACTGATGCACTCCTTCGCTCCCACCCCTTCCACCTCCTCCTGCTGCTCCAAGATCTGCCTCGACTGATGCGCCAGAGAGGACTAACATGGGTAAAAAAACACTCTGTGGACACAAATTAGGGATTGTAATTGAAATTTGTTGCCTTCATCTGTCAGCACTTCCAGGCAGGAGAGCGGTGGGAAGAACTTGCTCATTAGTGTCAATAAAGCGGCGTGGGCGGAGCCTGGGGCCCTGTCAATCACCGAGACGGCCGGCCAATCGAGAGGCGCCGACTCCGCGCAGCCCGCGCCCACTTCCTTACATGGTTGCGAAAAAGTAGGAGTGAAAAGCGCCGCCGTCTGGCCTGGATGTGCCAGTCCCACGCGCTCTGAACCCAGTCGGTCTTGCAGCCCATATCCCAGTCTAGCCCTGGAGTCTCCAGCTTTCTTCCCCAGGACCTAGAAGGCGGAGGCTCCTGGCTTCAAACCCAGACGTTCACCAAGTTAGAATATCAAGAATCTTTCAAGGAACCTTAAATTCCCGTCCCATTTCCGTATCACTTAAATGTCGCTACAACTCGGAACATTTGGGGAGTGTGGAGTATTCACAGCCACAAGGCCCCTCCTTTCTCATTTAAACATTCCTGAGTTTAGTAGCACCCACTTTTCATCTGCTAGGCTTATTTAAGTTTTACTCCTGTGAGGTTTTTCTTGAGGGAGACGGGCTCACAAATATTTAAAACCTTTATACTTAAGAATGCAAAATGTTACATTAACGCTCAGTCCCTCTTATAAACTAGCCAGAAAAATCATGCCCTTTCCAGAGCCTCCCTTTTCTTTCAAAGAGTGGTAATTATTTTAAGACATAAGCCAAGGGATTGTCATTCTGTATGTCTTTAATGATATAGACAATTTTAAAACCCCTTAAAAACTTCTCAAAGTGAAATAACTTTTAAGACGCAATAAAATTCCCCACTAAAATTTTTTCTCTGTGATTTAACGTCACTTTGTATTTGTCCTGCTTTTGACAATTTACCACATTTATCTCAGGCTTTTAAGGAGTCCACTTGTTTCTTTAAAACAAATTCTAAAGAAGGTAGAGCTTTTTAATTGAATGATACCAAACATGCAGACGTTACAGTTGTTTTTGTAGTTTCAATTCGACATTTTGTTAGGATTAACAAAAAATATGTTTGGTGTGAACAGAACAAATCTCATGTAGAATAAAATTAATAATGCATATTACTATTAATCTTCGGTGTAAAATACACGACAAAAGATTTCTTTTTGCCTCTTCTTCGTTCAGTTCAAGCTCCACAGCCATTTGCTGAGCGATTACCTGGAACTTCTCTGTAAACTTTCAGTAGAGTAGCTTCTGGGAGTAGCTTTGCCTCTGGGATTATCTTTTTACCGTAGCTAGGGGGAACGCGCGGTTCCTCAGAGTCCGGACCCCGCGGCAGGAGCTGGAACCTAACAGGTGGTGCCCAGAGGCACGTGCACGCCGCCCAGCCAGACCCAGCAACCTTAGGGTCAAAAAGGACTCTGTAATTTCCTTACCGAGGAGAGCTCTTTGAAACGCTTGAGAAACGAACTCTATTGCAAGAAATTGTTTTGCACTTTTTTAAAAAAAGCTTTTGGACTGCTTTGGAGCAGTCCAGTCATACGTATGTGGGACTCCAGGCTCCGCGGTACCCTAGGCCTGTATCATAGCCTAAAAAATAAGCGTAAACCCTGTTTCTGAAGCTTGGCCCAAGGCAGCCGCGAGCAGCAGAGCGCAGAGAGGCCGTCTGGAGAGCTTGGGCTGGGAGTGGGAGTGGGATGAGGTTGTGGGGGTGGACTTGGCAGGAGTCGCGGCCCGAAGCTCTGTAGGGCTAGGGCGCCTGAAGCCCTATTCAGCTGCCTGAGAAGCCAGAGCGCCCCGCCCTGGGCCCAGGCTGTTGTTGACCCGAAGGAGGAGCGACCCGCTTGCTCCTCCGAGTCGTCCTTGCAGTCGCCCTCGGAGACTTGGCGGCGCTGCGGCCCAGGGGTGGAGTCGCCCCAGCCCTAAGGTCGGCTTGGGCCCCGCTGCCAGGGCAGGGGGAGCTGCTCGTCCCCAGAAACTGCCAGGGACAAACGCGGTTTCTGATGTGAAGCCTACTCTGTGAATGAGTTCTTGTCCTTTTTTCTGTCCCGCAGCTCAAAGCCACAGGCGCTCTCAGGATCACACAGCAGCAGCGAGCCCTCCTCTTTTCCTCCTCCACTTCTTTCGCTTTTACCCTTGGCAGCAGGCTCCCGGCGCGCGGACACCTGGGGACTGGTGACCGCATAGTCCACAAATGGAAAGCCTGGCCTCACCGACTTCCGCGATGCCAGACAGAATGTAGCCCTTAGAAATAATCCAAGTGTGTGCGGGGCGCCCAGGGCAGAACAAGGGCACTCGCCCCTTAGTCTAGGCTACCGAGAACCACAGCTGTAGAGCCGCGCCGCTGCTCGCCACTTCGGACCTGCGCTGAATCTGGCTCAAGCTCCCGGACCGCGACCAGGCAGGACCAGCTAACCCTATCCCCACCCAGGAACAGAGGGTCGCAGACTGCAGTCCTCCCCCACCCTGGCCCCCGTGAAGGGGTGTCGAACCTCGCCTGGGCAGGAGAGGGAAAGAAACCCCAAGTTGGCTGACAGGCGGAGTAGCGGCCTTCAGAGTGATGGAGAAGCCATCACCCTAGCAAGGCCTTTCCTCAAAAGAGAGGCATGCTCTTGCCAGGGCAGAGCCAGGCTCTTGCTCTTTATGGGAGAACAAAGAGAGGGAGGACAGGGCACGTATTAGCCGGAGGACAGGTCGGCGACGCGCGGTCGCGCACGTGCGCGTGTCGGTGTGTTTGTGTGCCTGTGCGTGCATGCGCGTATGCACCTGTGCAAGTGTAAACGTGGTGGATGAGGGGTTGTACGTGCGGGGGAGTGTGTGCCTCCTATCGTTTTAGGAGAGAAAATATCTTTTCTCAGAATGAGCTATGCTAAGGAAACAAAACTGAAAGAAGCTGTCAGGCCTCTTGCAAGAGCAGCCAGCCGGACTCTATATCAAATAAAAGTTACCCGGAGACGAGCATGAACAGAATGAGTCAGTCTCAGGGACTTAGGGGAAAACAGAAGGACAGAAGATCCTTGAGCATCCTGATCTGGAATAATGGTACACTGTGGCATCGGAGTCTCGCCAGAAAGTAACGCTAACTGTTGGGGGGATGGACTTATGTTTGAAAAGCGTATCCGGTCTCTTCTTTATTTTTCTTGGTGAAGTTTGAAATTGGACAGTTCCGAAAGATTCTTTTTTTAAAAAACTCATACTTTCTGTTGGCTCCCACTGTGCGTTTTAGCCCGGAGCCTGTTTACACAGCATTGATATATATGCATATATCTAGTTTGCTATTTGGCCTTACCTGACTTATAAAGCATTTGTATTTTATTTATAAATAATTTTTTTTTAATTGTAAATGTAAAAGCCATAGGCGTCAGAACTTCAATCTCTAGATAGACTGATGTGTTTTTCTTTCACATTTGACAATATCGCCTAAGTTTTTAATCCTTATGTTTGATTTCCCAGCCTCAAGATCTGACATAGGGAGGTGAACCCTGGCATAGGTGAGAGTCTGTTTTTGGCCCCTGAACTCGGGGCGCATCAGGTGGTCCCCGACTTTCCAGTCTGGACCCAGACTTCCTTCCCCCTCATAAAAATACTTTTATTATTAGCTAAAAGATGAACTGAACAGAAATAAAGAAACAGGTAGGAAAGTAGAGGTGGGGCAAGGGCCAAACCGAAGCACCAAGAGGGGTACTCATTTGGCTGTCTTCCTTTGTAATCTAATCTGGGAAGGAGCCATATCCTAACTGGGGACAGTGGACTTCAGACGTCGCTTTGGAGTCACCAGGCAGCTCCGCATAGCGGGGCTAGGGCTTCCTCTCTTCTCCATTCCTGCTCCTCCGCTTTCTCACTCTCTCTTCCTTCTCTTTGCACGTACTCTTCTGGCCTCTCCCTCTGATATTGGTTAATGAAAATAATGTTATAGCCTGTATGTTTACAAAGGCTACGGGAGTAAAGTCAGGCAGTCGGGGGCTCGACGGCTGCTCTCGCAGACTTCCAGCTGGCTCTGGAGCTTGCGCAGCAAACGCAGGCCGCGTGAAAAAAGAGATCCCGAGCCGCAATTCCTCTCTGCTCGCTCCAGTCGCAGACTTGCGCACACAGACATCACCCCCTCACTTGGCCACTGTTTTTCATTCTTCCCTCCCAACAGCCCCCGAGATTCTCAAGTCGAGAGCCAGACTCGGTCGAGCTAGAGCTCATAGAGTTTCTCGTCTAGCGTTGTCAATCAATGCTCTCTTCTCCCTGGACCTCAGGGAGGTGCACGCGGTTTCAGGAGAGTCAAAGGAGTGTGTACTCCCAGGGCAAACATATCTTCCTCCCTCCCTCCTCTACCCACAAGTTCTCCAGCTTGGAGAAGGGAAAGAAAAGGGGAGAAGAGGGCTTCTGATCCAAGTTGGGGCGCAGTGAGGAAATAATGAATTTGTGATGCGTCCAGAAGAAAAGTCACGCGCTGGGCTAATGAGCTTCCTGATTCATGATCAATCTCTGCCAGCATCTGCTCTACCTCCACACCATACTTCGATTATTTTTTTCACACTGTGCGGGAGGTGGGGGGGGGCAGAATCACCACCCTCTCTTCTTTATTTATTGATCCACACTCCTCTCACAACACTACAGTGAAGGTTCAGTAAGAGAAGATTTTCAAGAAGGCCACACTTGTCTCTATTACTAATACCTGATCCAATTATAAGATTGCTTGAAGGAGGTAATGGAATTAACACTCGTATGTAAATGAATACCTGAAGATGGGTAGCTGGACATTGCTGACACCAATATTGCAACAAATCGATTTGGATGTGAATCAAACTGAGACACTGAATCGGGAAATTAAATAATACTCTCTAGTTAATAGGCATTTTAATAGTCTGTGGTCTATAGAATCATGCTTAAATCGATATTTTTAAATATGCAGCTTCACATTCTTTGAATTAAATATTTAATACTATTTTCCCCTATAGACAAAGGTTACCCTGAGCCTGCTGGCTTTACAAAATGAATTGAAAATGGAACTAAACGTTCCAGGTTAGGCCCTGTTAAAGAATCACTAGGTTTGGTGTTTAGCTTTTAATAAAAATTATTACACTCTCTAATTGGCTGTAAATTAGGTCCTGTTCTCATATTTTACATCTGTAGATACCGACAGTTCTTAAACAGTGGAAATTTTGTGCACATTCATATAATCTGCTGAAAGTATAAACAATGAAAAATGTGGCTGGAATTTATTCATATTTTTGTACTGACAGATGAGGCATTTCAGTTTCAGCTGAATGAAAGAACTTTTAACAGATTAATTTAAAGCTAGCACTGGAATTGCGTAAAAAGAAGTGAGCTATTGAAAAATACTATAAACACTGGGAATGAGCCCTGCATTTAAACACATAAGCAAAAATTTGGCAAGAAGCTATGACTTTTCTACATGACGTTTTGTTTTGTTCTGTTTTCACTTTTAATTGTGTAAACTCTTCCATGCTTTAAGAAGTGTATCATGAACAATTAAGATAGATGAAAAATGAAAGAGCTTAGGATTTTTTTCCTTTTCAATATAATATTCTTAAACTTTATTTCAAATAAAATAATCATACTGGAATAGATTTCCAAATTGAATTTTGGGAAGAGTCAAATGAAAATCTTCAAGCAAAAGGCCAAAGAGTAGTAGTAACAAGAAGAATTCTACCGAAATATTGATATGTTTTGGAATTTCCAAATTACTACATTTCCAAATTCAGTCACATGAAGAAAGACCAAGGAAAAAAACTATCTCAGGCCATGCATAAGAGGTGATGTAAATTTAGAATAACTAGCATTTCTAGAAAGACTTGTGCTTTTTTTTTTTTTCTGTTCACCTTTAGTCTTTGGTGCAGGTTCCTTCTCAAATTACATAAAATGTACTTTAAGAAGCACTCACTACCTGCTACAGATGTCCAGGAAAACTGAATTATGGAAGTCGGAAACATATGGCAGTTGCCTATTGCACAAGGAAGGTACATATGAAAGTTATAAATTTCTTTCTTTAAGTCAGCATTGTAAACGCATTTTATAGGGTTCACAGTGTGTATTACATCTGTAGATTTAATTTTTGAAATATATATTTTTTGAGATATTTGTGGTTTGAGATTCTAAGAAAAGGAACTCATCTTGATGTACTAGAAATAAAGAAAAAAAAACCCTAACAAATAAAAATAAATATGTGGAGAGGTAAGCATTTTTCTTTTATTTCCCAGCTGGTTATACTGAAAAGGACATCAGGCCATCTATTGGCAAAGGATTACTCACAACCCAGGAGGTGCCCGTCAGCAGAGCATGCTGCATTTATTGAGTTCCCGTTCTGAAGAACAGAGATATCAATTTGAGCAAAGCCAGCTTGAGGCCAGTATAAAAACCACCAGCTTAAGAACTGGACCAGGCAAATGTCAAAATGGCACCAATTCAATTTGCTTTTTGAGGAAAAAATTTAAGTACTTGTTGATATTTTTCCCATGAGAATATTAAATTTAATTTTGATTATTTTATTTAAAGCGTTTGAAACCACGTTTAGATTGCAATAATGATTTATTCAGTATTATCTATGGGTATCAAGTGCTATCAACTACCCAAGATATCTTCCCTTACGCGGTGAGAATTATTTTAAAACAATTCCTCTAATTTTCTACCTGAAGCTCCTTGTGCTATCTTTAAATTTAAATCAATTTTGTGGATTTTAAGAGTCACAGCTCTCTTGTTCCAGTTTATTTGGAGAAATATTCGAAGCAAGTAATGCGAATGGTCTTGATCAAGTTCAAACAAATATATACCTGTTTAAATACCCTAAAAGTGGGGCAGGTGTCTGCAAGTAAAGTCGCTATGGGTTCACTTCAAGAGAACCATCCTCAGATCTCCGTGGTGGAGCTCTGACCAAGACTGGTCTCCACTTTGTTGCGCTAGAATGAAATTTACTTGGGTAGAGAAATAATGCAAAATAATAGCAGATGCGCCCTTCTCAGGCAGAAGTTTTATTTGGTTGTGTTTTGAATTTCCCCTTTGTGATCAGTTATTGAGTAGTCGCCTGTATTGGTTTTCTCTTCTTTTCCAGTTCCTGCCTTGCTGAGGGCTGGTCCTGGCCAGGCTTTTGATCGCTGGGTCTACGTGAGGCGGGGAGAAACGCGGCGGTTAATATTGTGGGCTTCCAGATGCACGGAGAGGAATCCCTGAGGCGCAGAAAAAAACTAGCAGATTCTTCTTCATCTATCCTAGGAACGTTGGGAACAAGGAAAGCACCGGGGAAATTTCTGATTTCCTTCTTATCCGTGTTTTAGCGGCCCCCTAAGCTCCCCCGCTGTCCTTTCCAGGCCATTCTGCGTCCCCTTGTTTCCATTTATAATGAGAGCTCTATAAGAGGACTCCAACGATTTCACCAGAGAGTAAGCTTAGTTCGGGTTTATTAATATTTTAAGTATTTATTACTTGATATTACTTAATAACAAAACTAGCAATAAAGTAAAAAGGAAGAAGTCAGTCCAGTTTCGGGGATACCCTAACGTCCCAGGGGCGGATCCCGCTGGTAAAACTTTCAGAAATTCACATTTCCAATGAGGTTCCACACCTGAAATTAAAATCCACTCTGGGTTTCTGAAGCTCGCATTGCTTTGGTCAATATCTGAGTTTTCTTTCATTTAGTTTTCATTCTTTCTGGTTTTGGTGCCTTTTTTTTTTTTTCATTGCCGAAGACAATCTGATTTACAGTTTGACTGAGAGTTGCCTTTCTGTTTAGAAGGTGGAACGTCCAAGTCAGTTAGCCAAATTATTCCCCGACGGCTCCAATATTGCAGCAGAGTCTCAGAGTCAGTTATTTTTATGTCTGACTGTATTTCAAATGTGCAGGGTGATAAATAAAAACCGCCTCAAGCTACAGACTATCTCAGCGTGATGAACAATCGACAAAAATTAACCCAGCCGAGGCGTCGGGGAGCTGGCGAGCGGCCCGCGCTCACACCGGCGTCGCGGCGGCCGCGGGAAGCTGCGCGCTCCCAGCCGCGCGCCCGCTGCAGCCGCCACGCTCCGCAGCCGCTGGGCTCGCCCGGCCCGAGCGAGCAGGGCTCGGCCGGGGCCGAGCGGGAGTCAGACTCGGCCGCGGGCTCGGAGTCGTCTGTGGAAGGGGCGTGTTGGGGGAGAAAGGCACGGCCACGCCTAAACGACCCCCCTAATTAATTCACATGGAGAATTCTCCAGCGAGGTGTGTGCGTGTAAAGTAAAAAAAGACGTAGGAGGCAAAGTTTTGTGTGTGTGTGTGTGTGTGTGGGGGGTGTTGAGGAAAGAGTGACAATCCCCGACTTTTTTGGATCCCTGAGGAGTTCCTCTGATTGCTCGAGTCACTTGAAAAGGAGATTCGTCTCAGCCATTCACAATGAAATCCTTTTTACGAGAGATTTAGGGCGCGTCTAGGGAAGCTCTCCGCGGCGGCGGTGTAGCCTCTCCGAGTTCTGAGCCCGCCTGAGTTTGCACTTCCCCGAGCACACGCCCCGTTCCCGGATCCTAGCTTCGGCCCGGCCCGCGCCGCCTTTCCCGGAGCGGAATGGTCGGCTGCCGCCCCCTCCCCCACCGCCTGGGCCGAGCGTGCCAGGCTAACGGAAGTCGCCCGACCGGTCGCCGCGGTCCCCGCCACCTGTTGGAGCGCCCAGGGCAGAGAACCGCGCCGGCCGCTGCATCCAGGCGCTCAGTGACCGCAGGGAGTCGGGGGCTGCGGACCCGTGGGTTTCTGTAGCTACAGTGCAAAGAACAGCCCTCTCGGTGCTAAGTGCACACAGTAAGTGCGAAGAATAAATACATCATCTCCCAGGGCGTCTGTCTTGAAAAGGCCTCTCAGCCCCCCGTGTTTCAGGGCCCGCAGAGGGTTGCAGAGTAGTGCGGGCCCCCGCGCCGCGCCTGCGCCTCCCAGCGCCGGCCGAGAAGGGCACGCAGCCCCGGCCAACGCGCGCCACCCGCGCGGCACTACGCCCGGCTCCCCGAGAGGCGCTAATAACGCTCATCGAGACCCCCAGAAGCATTCCTGAGCCCCTACGACCGCGCCACCGCGCGAGCGACGGCCCGGCCACGCTCCCACCGCCCTGCCCAGGCAGCCCGGGAGGCGAAGCGCATCCCAGAGAGGGCGCCCGCGAAGGGCCGCGGCGCGCGAGCGAGTGCGCGGAGTCGCCTCGGGCAGTCGGTGCGGGTTACCCGGCGAGAGCCGGAAGGGAGTGGGGGGAGTTGGGACTGCAATTGTCCTCCAGATTTTTGAACGAAAACAGATTCAGAGCCGAGGGAGTGAAAACTTAAGCCTCCGGGCACGGAACTCTAGTTCCCGGGAGGCGCGGTCCCCGCTTTCCTGCTGGGGCGCCCGGGCGCTGGGCGTCCGCCGCTTGGCTGCGGAGGTGCGGTGGCTGCGTCTCGGGGAGCTCGGGCCTTTCTGTGGCTCCCAGGCTCTGCGGCGCGACTCTGGGCTCGGGCGTCCCCAGGCCCTGGCCGACCTCGCCAGCCGCAGAGCCCACCGCCTCCCCCGCTGGCGTAAACCGAACACGCCCTGCCTCGGGCCTCGGGCCTCGGCCCCGCCCGCCCGGCTGCCGGGCACTGGCGGGCGCAGGGAGGCTCAGCTTGCGACGCGATAACGCGTGTATTTGCCTAGTGAGTGACCCTGACCACGCCCTGGACTCAACCTCCTGGGCGTTACAGCAGGGATAGCTGCCCTCGCCGGGCTGGGCTGCCGAGGGCTGGCGGGACAGCGTATTCCCGCCGGGGAAGGACGGAGTCTGGCAGAGACTGTTAACCACCCCTCAGTGTCTGGGAGATAATTCCGGCCGGCTCTGGTCTGCGTGTCACCCCTCACCCCCAGCAGAAAGGGGTTCGTGGGGGGTTCGGTTCCGCCGAACCCCCCAACCCCCACAAGCGGTGGGCGGCCGGGCGCCACCCGGGCACCGGGTGGGGGCACATGGCGCCCTCTGGGGACGGTCGGCCGCACTGCCCAGAGCCCCGCCTGAGGAGGAGCAGCCTCGCCGGGCGCGTCCCGCCTACTCAGGCCTGGCCCCGCGCCCTGTGCGCGGCTCTGTGCCTGTCCCTCCACTTGGCGCCGGTGGCAGCTCTGGGAGATTCCGGAACCCCGGGCCCAGCCGGAGCAGTGCCCAACTGGAACCTAGCGGGAAAGGGAAGCCCTGTAGGTTGCCCTCTGCTGTGGACTCCATGGAGGCGGCTCGGAGTTGCTCGAAACCAGCTCAAAGGCTGCACTGGCCTGTGTCTGTCCGTGTGGAACCCACGCGGAGAGAGGCTGTAAGAGAAATCTCACAGCCGTTTATAAAAATATAAAGCCAACTGGAAAAGGGAGCATCCACATCGATGGAGGGAGGCAATTGAAAATGAAACGTAATTTGGATGAGGAGCCTGAAAGGAACCTTAATGTATGTTTTCCTTCTGCATGAGTGTGAATTGACCCCAGAATTTTAATGCAACAAATCAACCAACAAACAAAAAAGACTTAAGTCTCCACGCGGGATATTTCCCAGTCAAGTTCCCACGGCCTGTTACTGTTGTCATCTCCCCAGATAGTGGGCGAGAAATGAGCTGCTTTTCCATTGCCATTTCCATTTTAAATCCCAGGGCACTCACCTAGTAACTTTCTTGACTTCTGTCATTAATAAGGTTCTCTTCCTCCTTTTTTTAGAAGGGCTCATTTCACAAGTTTATAAGTAGGTCAACAGTTTCAAACTGCCCCATTTTGCATGATAGCAGACCACCCCCCCCCAAAAAAAAATGAAAGCAAAGTAACCTGCATATAGGGCTGTGATCTAAGGTGGTTATGGACTTTCAGTTGCGTAGTTATTTCTAAGACTTCATTTCAGAAAAATGAAACATTTCGGGGCAGTTGCAGTTACATTAGTACATGTTGTGGAAATAAGCTTGCATTTAGAGAAAAATTATTAGAAACAGCTGTGACGTTAATGTTTCTAAACCCAAAGTACTCAGTATGCTCAGTATCTACTTTTCATCATAATTTTTTGTGTGCATCCACATAATGCATACTCTCTGTGTGTAATACAAGACACTTGTTTAATAAAGCAAACGATTGTCTGTGTCAGAGAGATTTGGTCCTCTCTCCCTCTCCGAGTCCATGTGCAGAGCAGATCAAAGACCAGAATTACCTCTGCCTTTCCAAAGGCAGCCAGATGGTGTCTTGATTTTTCTTCAGATTTTTTTTTTTTTTTTTTAGCAATAGAATTCAAAGGACTAAAGAATCTGTGTGATGCTACAGATGAAAGCCCTGCCCAGGTAAATTATTTTTCTTTTTAATGCAATGCATACCTTACCTTATTCCACTAATATTTTGAGAAGTCTCTTGAGAAGACATATAATAAATATGTAAATGGTGAGTAAAAGATTAGGACTTGGTAAAATTGAAATCACAATCCAAAGTCAAGATGAGAAGAAAATAAGAACTCTGATATGCATGTGGAGTACCAGACAGTTATTAAAGAGGAGCTTTCTAGCAGCAGGGGTAAAAAGTGGAACATGATCCTCATCAAACACAAGGAAAAATCATATCAGTTCCTTATAGAAAGCAATATATTCCCTAAGGTAGTGATGATGATGATGGTGGTGGTGATACTAGCAGCAGCAACAATGGCATGTTGTTTTAGATGCTGCTTCATTTGGGAAACCACTGTCCTTGCCTCACCTCAGCACACACAGACTCTTCTTATGCTATTTTTACTTTGTTACATATAGATTAAAGCTACTTCTCTACATAGAGGCAATTTGGTGTCTGAAAAGAACTTTGGAATCAGGCCTGGATTCTGGCTTTTGGCTTCTGCAGTTGGGGTTCTGCAATAACCCTTGGCAAGGTTCTCTCTCTCTCTCTCTCTCTCTCTCTCTCTCTCTCTCTCTCTCTCTCTCTCTCTCTCTCTCTCTCTCTCTTTCTCTCTCTCTCTCTCATTCTCTCTCTTGGAGACCCAATTTTCTTTATAAAATGGGGACAATCTATCCCATAGGTTTATAGAGAGGATATTCCAGAGCCTGACACCAAGGAAACATTAAGTGTTTAGCCTATTATTGCTGTTTTTATTGTCATCAACAAGAGGCAAATTTGAGTTTCCTTCTTCCTTTTCCACAGTTGCACAACAGTCAAGGGGACTTCTACTTTGGGGCCTCAGAGCAAATGAGAATGCCGAAGTTTGGACTCTAAGACCTATCAGTACAGTCAAGTAAGCAAGGTCTCTGAGCTCCCTTACCCTCTCTCCTTGTCCTTCCTGATTTCTCCACTCTTTAGAGTGGAGCCAGTTTCTGGGAGAGAGAAGTGGGTGTTGGTAATATGGGCCTTTCCTTGAACCAGCAAGGGTAGAAGTGGGCCAGGCCCATCTGTGGCTCTGTGTAGCCACATTGGCTACACAGCTGTGGCTCTGTAGCAGCCCCATTCCTACTCACCAGTGGGGGTAGCAGCTGTCTGGATCACCTTGATATTGGGATGAGTCATGGCATGAATAAGTTCCAAAAGAAGGTAAATATATCTGAATATTATTTTGGAGGGAGAGGCTAGTACTAAAGTTTTTCAGGGTACTGCAGAAAGTATTCTCTTCGAGGGGCAGGAACAAAACACAAGGTAACATTCTCTTTCCCTCATCATTTCTTATCCTACCACTTCTTATGTAGAGCTTTTGAACTGAGTACCTGCTAAGACCCAGCACTGGTGCTAGGTTTTATGGAGACAAATTCTCTGTTCTGGATGCACACTTGAAACTATCCAGACAGCTGGCCTCCAAAGATGTCTTCTCTTTTTTGTACCTGTTTCACTTGGTTGGCACCTACTTTCACCCTTCTCCTCCTACTAAAACGTATGGGTTGATAATAGGTTAAATATAAATCCAGTGTATTTAAGTCTCTATATTATATTTCCCAAGGTTAGTTATATTTTAGATAAGCATAGAGAAGTATATGTGCATGTTTGACTTGTTTTGCCAGATTGTTATCTTCCTAAGGTTAGAAACTTCATAATGTTTATGCATTGATTGGTCAAATCTAAAACAACAGATAATTTACTTCAGCTTGAGACAGCCTCGTGACTAAAGGGCCAAGAAGCCATATGATATAACAGGGTGGGCAAGGACTTGGAGTGAGAAGAGGGGGCCCAAGGGTTGTTGTAGTGAGAAGAAGGGGCCCAGAGCCTGTTGGCTCTGTCATTGGTTTCATGAACTTGAGTAATCACTCAACATCCTTAGCTTCTACCTAAAATATTTATAGAAGATGATCCCAGTGGTACCGTGTAGCAACAACATTTTATCATCCTGAATCCACTTTCCAGCTGACAGTAGTTTTATCCTCCTCTGAATTAACCCCTCATGGCATCTTATTTCTTCCTCTTTTAGGCACATAAATTATTGCAAATATTTCTTATCTTCTCTATTGGATATAAGCTCCATGAGTTCAGGAAATGTGTCTACTTCAAAAAACTGAACTGATAAATACTTTTGATTGAATAAAATCTGACCCTTTATTTATAAAATCTACCAATTTGGTATAAAAAGAAGAAGGCTAACACTCTGCCATTGGATGACAGAGACAGCTAAATTTCATGGGGCTGGCACATGTAGGCTCCTTCTTTGTCAAGTTCTGTTGTCTCCATGTCAGCTAGGCTCACACAGTCATGCTTGTGCTTATTTGAGGGGTACACATAAAATGCTGCAGAACAAATATCCAGCTCCTTTCCTTAGCTAATGCACAGAAAATGGTGGAAGGGAAGGAAGCAGGCTCTATGATGGTAGAAGGAGAAAGGCACAGGGGAGAAGTTCTCCCACCTGATGAGGGTAGATTGGGTATTGAGCTGTGTCTTCCTAGCCTCCAGTGTGGCATGCAGCCAGAAATGGGGCCTACACAGGCCTAGGGAGGGGTGGCCATAGAGGCCTGCCTATTCCTATGGTATGGTTTCCTTGGCCAGGTTTGTCAACTCTCTAAAGCTCTCCCAGGGAAATGGAGGTGGGAAGAAGGAGTAAGAAGGCAGTTATGCTCTGTTAAAGTGTATGTCTCTGGATTTTTCTCTTATAACAGATTCCAGAACAGGCATGTGTGCAGAACCATTAGTCTGCTCTCTAGAGCAATCCTGCTGGGAGAATGATACAATAAATACTCACAAAAAGTAATTTCCTTGCTTCTTCTCCTAGCCAGGTCTTTGGGACTGCAGCCCTGCCCCTTCTCTCAGTCCCCTGTGCTCACCTTAAACAGGTGATCCTCCAAGCAGCCCTTCATGCTTGTGGCCAAACCACAGCCTCTGCCCAGGCCAGCTGGCACAGTATTCAAGCACTTCCTCCCTGGAAGACTGGTGCTTCTGGAGCTTCTGCTGCCACTGCTGAATGCCATCAAGTTGCTAAACTTATTCCTACTGCCTCTGTTACTGATGCTATCTCCATGGTCAACCCAAATTCCCATTGTCTGGTATACCTGGGTACTAGCTTGGGTCTTGCATGTTGGAGGCCTGCAAGAATAGTCCTACTTACTTGCCTTTTCCTCCTGCTCTGGATTCTCCTGCTTCCCTCTTCCCCACCCCCACCCCCACACAGTGGTGAGGAAAGCCTCTTTTAGTCAGCTAATGCCTTCTGGCTGTTCTTTCTGATCTATCCTTAATTGTTAGGTCCAGAGGTATAGAATGGTACTTCCTTTTTCCCTTGATTTATAGCTGTAGGAAGTCCCCATGTACTCATATATGGAGGCTGGTCTCTGTTCCCCTTCAGGCCAGTTAGGTTCCTTGGGCTCAATTGGATGCATATTCCCATCCATTTATCATACAAATCTTTATATCATAGGCTTCAGGTACATTTATCATATACATCTTAGGCTTATTTCTTTTAGAAAATGTCAACATTCTAGAAATTATGTGTTAGTCATGGAAATTAATTCTAACTGCAGCATAAAGCAATCCCTGAATATCAGTGGAATAACCCAATATCAATTTTCTTCTCACTTAAGAGACCTGAGTGGGTCAGGTGGCTCTTTTGTGTGTCCTTCCTCCAACTGGTGACTCAGGGACCCATAGGTTAGCTTTTTCTTATAGCTGTGTCATTTGGAACCTGACTTCCAAGTTTGCTGTGGAAGGGAGGAGGAGGTATGGGGAAAGCAAACCTGTTCTTAATTACCTCAGCCTGGAAGTGACTTCTGTTCACATTCTATTGGCAAGAAGTCAACCCCAAAGCCCCATGTACCTGCAGAAGAATATGGGGAAATATAGTATTTCTTTCTGCCCAGGAAAAACAAATAAAACAATTCAATAACTAACTGGCTTTGTCTCTGTAATAAGTTTTGAAGGGAAACTCCTCTTTTTTTCTATGCAGGAGAAACTCCAAAGCCAGTGTGCCCTTGGATTCAAATGACAGGGAAAGTTAGGATTTGCTGTTCAATCAGATGTAAAAACTAGGATGAGTTCTATAGGCCATTATTTGTTTTTGCTCTTATGGAACTAGTTCAAGGACAAAGTTCTTTTTGAGGTCAGGGAGAATTATATTCCATAGAATTGAAGCAAGGTATCTGGAGGAAGAAGAGGGTTTGAGGAACCAACGGATATCCACTTATTGTGGAAACAGCCATATCAATGTCAAAAGCCCTAAAGTTGTCTATTACAGATTTCCATAGTCTTTTTATTACCAGAGGGGTTGCCAGTAACTAGGGAAAGTTTAGCCAACAAGCTGTAATGATATTCCAAAATCCAGGAATTAATCACCTCTTCTCTGGTCTTTTAGTACTAATACATGCTATCAGCACTCTCCCTTCCTCCTCTGTCTTGGTTAACATTTTTATTTGTATCTTTAATGATTTAACAGATGTCGGACTTTGTTAGTGGTTTGACAAGGGCTGACATTGCTCTAACGCCTTTGCTCAGGTCTGGTTCATTTATGAGGGGATAACAGACCACTGATGTCATGTTCATGTGCTTTGATGGAAGTTTTAGTGTCCCAACTCCCCCGTGGAAGGTGTTTTATGCTTCTAAAATGGTTGCAGCCTTCTTGTTAAGTTCTTCTCCCAGCACACTCTTTCATTTTACCTTCTCACTGAACAGTATATTGTAACACCATTTGGGATAGCTGGTTTAACACCAGTACACTCAGACTTTCCAGATGAAAAGTATAGCAGAGAAGTAAACTGGAAGTCTTCTGGAGGGACAATGGACTTGCAAGCTCATCTGTATTGGGTAAAAAGACTAAAAAAACCTGTGTTATCTGTTCTTAGAGCAATTACATTTATTGTTTAAAATAGCCAAATATTATTCTCATTCCTGAACTTGTGTTTTAGATGTCCTCCCAGAACCTTAGAAACTGCTCAATTGGCCAGTGTTTACTGGACATATTCAAAGCACCCAAGGAAACCTCTAGTCAAAAGGAGAATTAAATGGAGATCCATTGAATGCTAGGAGATATATGTTGCAAGCTGTACTGACCACAGAGAAGACCTGGCCTTGGCCTTCAAGAGTTTATAGTTGAATGAACTGTATGGGTTCAATCAAAAATCAATTAACTCTATTAATAGGGCAAGGAAACCATGGCCAGAGGCAAATCAATGGTAATACCTAAAAGAAATGTAAGTAAAAATATTTGGCCAGTATTCTTTTGGGCAAAAATGTCGAAAAGTGTACAAGTAAGAGCCAGGGCTAAGCAAGGAGTAAGAATTGAGAGGTTGTGTCTGGTGCAGATTCTTTCACTTACTGCCTGCATGACTTTGGGGAAGTTCTTTAACTTTTATGAGCCTCCATTTCCTCACCCGAAAAATGGAGAGAGTAACGTGGGTCCTGGCAAATGTGTTAACTGATTGTGCAGATCGGATGAGATGATATATTTGAAAGTGCTTTAAAATGGTAAAGTACTACATAAGGGTAAAGGCAAAGAGAGGCTTTACTCCTGCACTTTCTCTTCTTATTCTCTCCTCTCTGCTTTCTCCTTTCTCCCCTCCACACCACCCTATCCACCACAGACTATTGTGAGTCTCCATTGCAGCACAAGGGAAGAAGCCAACAGGAAGCAACACATTTGGGTAGAGGTGATGTGGGTGTTGAATATTTTTTGGTTGCTATGCTATTTGGCACCATAAGTATATGTAAAAACAGTAGTTTTGGTGGAAGCCAGTTTTCCCCCCAAAAGTTTGCTTCTACCTGCTGAAAACATTTACATTGTGAATGGAAAAATGATGTAACCAGAGGAGGAGGTGGCACTTGGTGGTGGCTCTAGATCAGTTCTCT